ACACGCACTTGGTGTTCGAAATATATTGCATTTTAGCTCCCTTTTCTTGTCCTGGAAGAAATACGTCGTGACCCTGTGTATACCTCGGTCCCTCATAAGATGATCTTGTTATTTACAGACAGAATGAACTCGCAACAATATATGGACATTTTGAATAATAGTTTTATCCCATCATACCGGATTCTGTATCCACAAAGTAGAATCACTTTTGTACAAGATAATTCCGGCGTTCATACGTCACATATGGTGCAAAATTATCTTGCACAAGAGGATTACAATGTCATTGCCTGGCCAGCAAAATCTCCAGACCTTAACCCAATAGAAAACCTGTGGGGTATAATGGTCCAAAAGTGGAGCACTGGCGGACCGCTCCCCAATAGGCGGGATAATCTAGACACCCATTGTAGGCGGATATGGGAATCCTTCCGGGGAACGGATGTCTGCAAAAACTTGGTGGACAGCATGCGCACTAGGATGCAATTCTGTATAGAGGCAGAAGGTCATCCTATCGCATATTGGTAAGATATTTTATATAGCGTATTGTGTTTATTATATATTATGCATTAAAATCGGCTCCGTACAATGATAGCTCGAGGTATCGCATAAATATGGAGGAAAATACAAAAATGATTTTGTCAATCATTTGATACCCCTTCTCTCTTCTACTACCCCTAAAACACATTGACGCATTTAGAAGGCTGGCTATTATTACCTCTAATCGCATACTAAGACAAAAATTTGACCTGATTTTTTGTTCATTTTCGTGTTGTGCTTTTTGTCACTGGAAGCAAACTGTAGCTAAACTGTTTTCACAAAGCTTCTTTGAAAACTTACTTAGGCAGGCTTCGCCTTGAAATGATATTCCCAATTTGGGGGATGGGACGGAGATTTTTTTCAGTTTATAGTATAGAAACATTGTATGTATAAAGGAAATCTATTTTGAATAACAATATGTATTTTTTTCAGAATGCTACGTAGCCCGTATTAGATTTTTGTAAGAATGCTTTTGTTTATTTGTTACTTTTGTTTATGGATTTATACAGAAACTGTTTTTTTTTTGAGAATTCTAGATTGACTTATTACTTGTTTGTATTCTAAAGGATATTATTTTTATTTTAATTGCATGGAATTAACTGTTTTATTTTATTATTTTATACTATATTATATATACTCCATAATCATTTGAATTTTTATTGAACCACTCACTACCTTATTATAACAATGAGCGGATTATAATTTATTGTTTGCGCAACCTAGGCTTTTGGCTTGAATGCCAAATATTTGACCTACCATAGAAAAATTCATCTCTCTAAGTTTGGGGACCAGTTATTAAACAGACAAGCCGTCGGCAATGAGTAATCAGGGGAGCAGAAACACTTCGTTCCGCGACCTGTCTTTATGTAGACAACCACACCACACAACCAATTTTGGAGCGGTTGAATATTCAATCAGAATGATGCAAGACTTGCATTCGCAGATATTTTATTAGAGCGATTGTGATTGCCGGTAGTCTTAACAGTGCGCATAATATAAAAAGTATTTCTATTAGAAATAACGTCACCGAAGCCATTTTACATATTCTGGTGGAATATATGAACTGCTTCTTTCTGCTGTTTACAGATGATATATAGTCAACGCCAAACAAAGTGGCGTGCACGTCATCAATGTGGGTGTGTTGAAAAATTTACATTGTTGCCAAACTTTTTGTAAAATAATAAAATTTATTATTTACATATCTAGGTTTATAAGCAATATTAACCTCAAATGAGAACAAAAATAATAGATTATAAAATTATAGATCTGTACTTGCATAATCATTAAGTATGACAATTATTGATCAGATGACACTATGAAACTACCATATTTAATTGATAGCTTAAAGGTACTGAATAAAAATCCAAATGGGGTCCTCCAAATTTTATGCATGGTATTTATTTTACAGAATTCATACAGAAAAATGCATTCTAAAATTAGGTAAGCTACTGGTGTAAGCTTTTTCTGTACAATAAAGTTAGTCGGAGTTTCTTTCTTCAGCGCTGTCTGAATCTGAATCTTCATCACTCTCAAAGTTGATTATTAAAGGTTCGATGTCTGGTCGATCAAAAATTCGATCTCTTTCATACCATTTAAAAATTTCTTGCTCAGTATGTCGAACACTATTTTTCCACATGTCTGGGGTAACCGTTTGTAGAGCCTCGTTCCACATATCCAAACAGTCTTTTTCACTGTTACCATCTCTACCAATATGTCTGTTATAGTAACCTTTTGCTATGCCCCAAATTAACTCAATAGGGTTAAATATACAATGGTAAGGAGGCAGACGAAGAACTTTGTGCCAATGTTGTTCCGCCAATTCATCAATCACGTATATTTTAGGTGGTTTGTTTCTAAAAAAGCAGTTATTTTAAGAATAGGAATAAACAAAAGAAATATAAACTGTCGACCAAAATATATATATAATTAAGAAGCATTATGTACCGAGCAACAATACTCAATAGCTCTGTTTTAAACATTGTGTTTAAAAATGGTATGTTTTGATTTGTCAACCAGTCTTGGATATTTTTTTTTGTCCATGCATTGTTGGGCACTTTGTTCAATATCATGCTGTGATAAGGGGCGTTATCCAGTATAATCATAGATGGACTCTCCAATTTTTCTAATAACTGATGTTGAAACCATTTCAAAAAATTGTCCTGGTTCATCTCTCCATGGTAATCGCTCAATTTTGTTTTCGAAGAAAATATCGCTTCACTACCCTCAATAAACCCATTTTCATTTCCAGCATGTAATATAATGTATCTAAAATATATTAGTTTTAAATTTTATAGTGCAAATTGTGTAAAAGTACATACCTTTTACCATCTGTTTTAATAGCTTTCACGCTTTTTTGGTTTCCATTTTGCCAAGAGCGACCTATGGTCCCATTTTGAAATATCCAAGTTTCATCGAGGAAGACAAACTGGTATAAGGCCTCAACCTTGGCTTGATTGTATTGCCTTAGAAATTCCACCCTTTTCAAAGCTATACTTGGTAGTTCCATGAGCCCTCGTCGCGGATTGTCCTTAAGCCACTTAAATCCAAGATCTCTAAGCAACCGCCTTAAAGACGTGGCACTACCATCAAATAATGCCCTATCTCTTAATCGAGACCATAAAGTTTGTATCGTAACTTGTTCTTCTGAAACCATGTGTAATATGACATTATAATTTAGTTAACAAATTAATGCAAATTTCTGATAAGTTATTATAATAAGATCTTACTTTTGTGATACATATTATAGATCACTTCTCGAATGGCACTTGTATCCAATGTCGCTGTGTTGGTTACACGTTTAATATAACTCCGCTTTTTCTTGGGGATTCTAAATTTGCATCACTTTTCACACCCTCGGAAATACGACTAACTGTCCTTAAACTAATTTTTAAAGCAGCAGCAACACGCTACAAAAAATGAAATAAAATTTCACTATTATTAATATACATTACATATAATTATTAGTAACCTACCTCTTGAACAGCATTTAAAGGCAACAAAGGCCCGTTGTTGTCCCTTTCTTGCTCAAAGTAGTGCATTGACGAGGCCACGAGTTCCTTACACCGACTATTTAACTGTTTGGGCATCTTTATATACCAAAAATTGACTTTATCTACTCGTAAAATGAATAATTTTGTTTTGAAACAAACAGTTGTTGATTTACAGTATGCGGGGCCAAAGGATTTATAAAGATTTGAAATGCCACAAATTGATTCAGTGTCAAAATAAATACAAATGTCAGTTCCCAGTTTAAATAAGTTTCAAGGTGACAATGTGTCAACGCTGCGAAATCGGTTTAGTGCGTTTACATGTCGATAAGTGATTGGAGCGTTTGCAAAACATTTTATTTCGCATAATGCGTCTAAATTTACCAGAAAGCAACTTATGTGATATTTTAATAACAATGTTTATATGACCATTAACCATAATAAGAGAGTAATGACCATTTTACAATTTATATATCACATTAATATGAAACTGCAATAGAGCAATTGTTTGTGATAGAAACCTAGGCATTAGGTCGGGGAATTTTTATCGTGATGACGTGCACGCCACTTTGTTTGGCGTTGACTATAGTTAAGGGTGTCAGGAATATACTAAGTGACTTATAAAATGCAACACCCAGAATTATTTATTGAATTTTGATGAAAACTTGTAAACATATTTGCTGTCATATACGCTGATCAGGATCCGAACAATATGAACACGTTTACTTAATACGAGTATTCAGTGATTTTTCGCATACGCGCTAATTTCACTCGACTTTCCGTCGAACGGCATATTCATCGCACTGTAGTTGTTATGGTAAGGGGTGCCATTGCTGACGGAAGGAGGTCACGATTAGTGTACCGTTCGAGGTAGCATGACTGCCCAGCGCTATATCCACGAAGTTTTATAACCACATCTGCTTTCCTTTTTGGAAAAGATTGTAAGATCAACTTTTTCAGCAGGACAACGCACGGCCTCATGTCGCATGTGTTAGCTTAGACTTTTTAGAAGCGTATCGAGTAAATCTGCTTAAGTGCCCTCCTCGATCTCTAGACCTTTCCCCCATCGAACATCTATGAAACATGATGGGAAGAAGACTGCAAAAAGATGGCCTGGGATACAGTACACCAACAAGACATTAATCACCTAATCCAATCAATGCCGCGACCACTTAACGAATGTGTAGCGAACAGATGAGCCTCAACGCATTATTAACATTAAGGTGGTATATCACGGCTATTTTGCGAAATTTCGAGTTAAAATGTTAATCACTTTCTATTTATCAGTAGACCTAAAACTTGTAAAAGTATGCTCAAAATTACAACACTACTAGTCGGTGTTGCATTTTCTACCTATGTCATTTAGTATACATCCAATTTTTGCGTATCAATTTTTACTAGTATTAATATCCGAACCCACCATAATATTCGATTTGGGAAGGATTGATGAATAAAACTGAATCCTTATTCAAATTAAAGGTTACAAAAGGCCTCTGATAGCAGGCTCAGTAGGACCATATGGAGCATACCTTCACGATGGATCTGAATACACTGGCACCTACATTCAGCATGTGTCGGAAGATACCTTGCGACAGTTTCATGAACCACGAATCGATGCGCTTATCAAGAGCAAGGTAGATCTGTTGGCTATCGAAACTATTCCCAGCAAGAAAGAGGCTTTGGTAATCCTAGACGTTGTCAGGAAATATCCAGATATCAAAGCGTGGGTGTCTTTCAGCTGTAAGGTACTGCGGATTCTTTTCAGTTGCAGTTGTTAAGCATAGCAACAGTACAATTTAATATCAAATTAATTTTCTGTTAAGCCACTGTTTTCACCAAAAGCAATCCGACGGTATCTCGACTTTAACCCGATTTCGACTTCAGTTGCTAAGCAACTGGCGGGCTCGTTTTGAAGTTTTGGAAAGTACTAAACTATTTTTGCTATTAAAATCTTCGACTGAAAGAAAATCATATAAGGAACATACTCCTTGTACGCAAACATATTTCTTGAGTCTGATGGTCATACCACTGCTGGGAATCGCTGATCTAGGTCATATAGCATCTATGTCGCTGCCTCGTTTCCTCTGTACTTCCCATGTAACTTGATGATTGTATGGCAGGGATGATAGAGATATTCGACATGACCTATATCTAATTTTCGTAATTCTTCAGCTAGTTGTATACGATTAGCTATGTGGTAAATTTTCAGTCGGACGGTGTTCATACAAATGCTGGCGATAACTTTAGCGAAGCAGCAGTAGAGGTGTACGAATCTGATCCGGCACAGATTGTCGCCGTAGGTGTGAACTGTATCGCACCTCATGCTGTTGAACCCCTGATTCAGCCTATCAATCAAGCACGCGACAAACCAATACCACTCATTGTGTATGCTAACAGTGGGGAGAATTATGATCCGAAAACTGGGTAAGTGGAAAAGTGTTAACGTGGCATTTTCATCAGAGCGCCAAACGTCGAGTGTCAAGGGAGGTTACGTGGTCCACAAGTAATCAACTTTGAAGTGTCAAAGCTGAACAGTGAAGACAAACCAACATTGACGCTACAGTATATTCAGATAAGAGATAGACCGGACATAAACCAGACCACGTGATCATCGAACGCTGTAACATTCGGCAGGGACGTATTATGAGTCACGCAGTACATATTTTAGATAGTAGATGCTGCTTTGCGTAACTTTGTAGTAAATTAGCACAATTCGATGTGTATACGATTGGTGATGGATATAGGACCATGTGGGGGTGGGGTAAGAAATATATAATGATGTAAATATACATAAGGGTTTCAAAATTTTCGCTTCGATTTCCAGCTTCGGATGCCGCCTGATGTTTGGTGAAATACAGTCGAATATAATCTCGAAATGGCGTTTAAATTAGCCTAAATTAAAAATAATCGTATATCTCTTAAAATTGCTTTTAGAATATTGATTAGTATATTTTTTGATTTCTAGGTAAATATGTAACCAAATTAAAACGTTCAAAACGTAAAAAAATGTGCATGGCTGAACATTGTCAGAAAGTAGATTCTTGAATAGGTTTTGCCAAAATGGGTTCAAAAATGTCAATAATTAATTAAAAAATACAGTAGCTTTATAATTACTTATAACTTACCGAATTTGATGAACGACATCTTTTATTGGAAAGATGAGCTTGATGAGCTTTCATCATCGCTACTGCCTCAAGCACCAACGTCAATAATGAATGGCTCGACTTGTTCCTCTAAAATATTGTCCAGTTCCCACATTCTCTTTTCAACTTTGTCTTTCACGTGCTTAATACAGTTTTCCCATTTTTGCGCTGTTATTAATTCTAGTGCTTATTTGAAAAGTCCTTTGAGGTCACAAAATTTAAAAGTTGTATTGTGCTTAGCTATATAATTTTTAACCTCTGCCCATATGAGCTCAATGGGATTGAGCTCGCAATGGTATGGAGGTAAACGGAGCACAGTTTTATTTTGACTTGCTGCCATTTCGTCAATGGCGTATTTTTGATATTCCGCCTTGTGATCCTTGACAATTCTTAATAATTGTACTTTCAGCATTGCTTCTTCAAAGTTGATATTTTTCGAGCGGAGCCAATTTTGAACATCAACTTTCCTTGAAGCCGTTGTTGGGACCTTCTTCATTCTTCGAGAATGATAAGGCGCATTATCCAACACAATTACTGCGTTTTCCTCTAAGTTCGGTAAAATTTTTGAAAACCACTGTTCAAACGATTCGCCATTCATTTCCTCGTGGTAATCTCCAGTTTTCTTAGACTCAAAGCACCACAGACCGTCAACAACAAATCCATCCTCACTGCCAATATGGCAGATAATGAGCCTTTTCCCTTTACCTGGAAATCGAAGTACTAACTGGTGTAGATTTATTTCAATAAGTGAACCTTTTTTAAATGTTTTCATCACATTCAGCGAAAAAACATTGAGACATGAGTATCAGATTGCTATAATTGGGATTATTTAGTCATATTGAAAGAAAGAATATTGAACGTCGTATGATTACTCAGCGCTTCACAATTTAATTTAAAGTTATAAACCTTTAAAAAATGAATGATCAGGAACCTGAAATACGCGCAAATATTAATATTAACAAATTATAACTTTATAAAGCTTAAAGTATGAATTAAAATGATTAGAAATATTAGGAACGGTACACAATATAAAACTTAGTAACTTTTTTTAAGTTTATAATATTCGACATATTTTAAGATTATATTAAAAAATTATTGAAATATCGAAAACACATAAAAACATGGCTTAAAAAAGTTCTAACAAATGAAAATGACAATAAAACATCCACGCATTTTATCGAAAGTTATAAAAGTTTTGTTTCTTGTAATATGTTTTATCTGCCCCCTGGAATTAATGTTTAGAACCTTGTTCCCAAGGTTTGAAAAACATCCGATTGTTGTCTATTACTCGTATTTACCTGCTGGATTTTTTAATCCGGTGGACAGTCCATCTAGAAAGGCCCTTCTGGATGAAGTTACAGAATCATCAACCCATACTTTACTTGTAGTGTGTCCTGCGTTTACCCACGTTTCATCAAGGTAATAAATCTTCCTGTTTTGATTTCTATATTTCCCAATTTTTGTTAAATAATCCCTCCTCCATAGCACAATTTCTTCTCTATCCAGTAGTAAACTATTACGACCCCGTTTTTTCCATTTGAAATTTAAATGCTTCAGTAACGCATGGAAAGTTGATCGTTTGAAATTTGGCAACGTTGTATCTCCATTTACCTCCTGCAGTACTTTATCTATAGTAAGTATTTCATTCCTAAAGAAGAATTCATGCACTTTCCTCCTAATCGCATGCTTATCAGCTTCATCCAATGATTTAACAATACTTTTGCGATGTTTACTGGTCATTGGCTCAGAAAAGGTGGGATTTTTTTTGTATTGTCTTAACACATTAAACACTGATGCGCGACACACCCCAACTTTGTGAGAAACCTTCACAACAATTTCTTTGATGGTTGATGCCTCGTTCTCCTCGCGCTCGATCTTATATATATTCAAAATGACCTCTTTCATTTCTGCACTCAGGTGTCTTTTTTTAGAGCGTTTCCTAGGTGGACTACAGGAGTTTACAACTTCATCGGCAGTATCTGTACTACTGGGCATTTTGCGCAAGTAGTTGATAACAATAACAATCAATAACAAGGTATAACAATAACAACGACAAACTCAACAACTTAATAAGATAACAAACGAAAACGTCCAAAGAAATATCAAATTGCAATGATGCACACGACATACGTAACACGTCTGAACCTGAATGTGACTCTGCCTTGATACGACTGCTCTGCCGCTCGGCATAGGCATTTAATTGCGAATTGACCAATGAGGGCTCCTGTTTTACGTCGAGACGGCGGCGTTAGCGTGAAAATCACCCGAACCTTTTGTTTACATCCGGTCTATCTCTTATCTGAATATACTGTAGAGTCATCACGGCTGTAGGGTACAGCACATATATCGTTGCAGTATTATAACAATAACAATATATTTGAAACTGACCAGAGAATTAACTCTGTACATATCTCAAAATCCGCAGATGTTTCTCCTGAAGCTTGTTTATCATTATTTGTTATTACAGCTCTATTCGGCTAAATGTTCTTTAGTTGTTTTTCTATTACGTCTTACTTGTTATTACAGCTTTATTCGGCTAAATGATCTTTGGTTGTTTTTCTATTAAGATTCTTTCATTTCTACTGATCACTTTGACTGACTTGACTTTGTTCAACCATAGCATCAGGTATACACTGAAAACCAAATTTGTTTGATGGCTTGAGTTCAATGTCTACCAGCCTAGCTTGGCCTAGCAACGCCGACGCGGCAATCTGCCGCGTTGCCAATATGTTACACCAGTTCCTTGAATTAAGATGCGTGTTGAAAATATGCGTTAGTTTATTATCTACACTCAAACAATCGTTTTATTTTGAGCGTACGCATTTTTGAATTGTGTCGGATCTGTTTTGGATCGATTCCTGATCGGTCCTAACGGCGCTCCATTTTAGGTCGGCATCGCCAGAAATTCTGCAATATTGCATCATTGGTTCGCTTGGCAACTCCGCTTCTCGTACATTCGAGGGCAAGTTTTCTACCTCCATGATCACAGATGAGCGATTTTGGTCAGTACCCATCTAGCGCTCATTGGGGAGTGTATTCCTGCTTCTATATGGTTTTCACATGAGTACAAGCAAGTAGTGTATTGCGTAATGGTAGTTGTTACATTTTACGACAGCGAGCGGTCGGAAAATGTAACAATAACTCAGGGTGTGTTGATTGTATCACCATCGGTGGAAATCAAACATAAATCTGAAATAAATTAAAACACTAAGTCGCAACAACATTGAAATAAATAATGCCAATCAAAACGAAAACAAAATATTAAATTAAATGTTCAAAAAGACCTTCTTCTTGGGTTTGTTGGTAACTTCACCTGCATGATCTTCTGCGTCACCGTCCCTAGGCAATGTGGTGACGACCTTGGCTCTTCAGCTCGCCTCTATCTAACTTGTGTTGTTACAAGCCGTCAGACAAATTTGATTTTCCCTGTAAAGGCTAGGCGATCAGTTTACATTGCACATTGAATTGTAGCTCCAAATCCAATCACATGATCACTATTGACGCTCTCATCAAATTGCCCCTTTAGGGTAATACAACCGATAGACTAATTTGACACTGGCTTTTTTTGTTTGTTCGCTTTATTTTAAATATGGGTTGGTGTGTAACTAAAGGGGTTATGCGCAAAACAAACGCCTCAAATTGAGAGTATACATCTGAGAATACTTTGCTTCCATCCAATATCCAACAAACTATTGCTGAACGCGAACTTATATGAGCACAAGTCAAGTAATAACTTCGAGATGCGACTTGCTTTCGGGCGTCAATATTTTTTATAGCCGTGTCTAGGCAGCTACAACATCAAATAGTTACTTTTTTCCTTGATTATGTAGTGTTTATTAGATAGGAAAAAAATATTTATTTTTTACAGGTGGGATAATAACTGTGAAAAACTAGAAGAATATATACCTACGTGGTTGAACCTTGGAGTCAAGATAATCGGAGGGTGTTGTAGGGTTTGTGCAAACTACATCGAGAAAATCAAAGATGAGGTTGATAAGTGGGAAGCTCAAAGAAACAAATAAATATTTAAACATTTCTATACAAAACTGTTATTTTTACATATTTCTACTTTCATATAAAATATATTCGTCAACAACAGAATGAGAGCACACAAGAGCTTTCTATAATCATAATTTAGCCATAAATTTTTGTGCATGTGGGCTCAGTTACTTTGATACCATTATTGTTAATTTTTGCCAGATGATGAATATATGCATGAGTATGTCAAAAAATAGTCTTAAGCTTTAATTCCGAATCACGTATTTTATAGGTTTCATAGTTCCTGCCCAAAACATGTATTCAAAATATTTTGGAAAACGTTCACATTCTGTTTGCAGAAACATTGCCTTCTAAAATGGTTATATAATTTTGATTGTGATCTAAACAAAAATTACAGAATTTTAGAAATTTTAGAGTCGATTCCTCAGAAAAACAGACCGTCGCAATTTGTTACGTGGTTTTTATATATCTGTAAATGTTATTTGCTACAAACTTTTAAAAATGTTGGTCGAGCTCTAAACACTTCCAAAAAAGTTTAATCGAAGGCATTTCAAAACTTTTGTACTTGATTAGTTTTTTACTTTTAGATGTAAGTTTTCCGTTTTATTGTGTTCTTTTTATCAGAAAAATATTTTTTCAAAATATCTGTTGTTTTACTGAGTGTGTTGAAGAGTGAGACACTTTCACTTAGAAGAGACTTGATGTGCATTGATACGTGAATAATGATGGAGGAATAACAATTACTGGGATTATAACGAATTTGTATTCGTGTATCGTATGGTGGTCAAGCTAAATAAATGACTCGCTTAAAAACCCTGTTTTTTATTTTAATGTTATTTATATATATGTACTTTCAGAAAATAGAAGCCGTTCAGACTTTTTTTATGTTCCAGAGGCTCCTGATCATTTTCGGAAATTTTTTTGTAGGAGGGGGAGAGTATATTTCAATTTTTTGTTGGTAGTAGATCTAGTAGAACGCACCTGCCGTACTTTATGAACTTACAAGGTTGTCCACAAAATCCTGTCTGCGTCTGCCATCTAATCTCTCACTGTCACTCTGCTTGAGCTGGCCAGCATAACATAGCTGACGTTGCCAGATGGTCGATATTTTCAGTAATGACTGGGAAGAAGTTTTAGATGGCAGCGTTATCGAGTAGGTGGATTATGGACTAATCGTATGGGTTTGCTTGGCTCACCTGATTCATTTAATTCATTTTTTTATGTTATACATGTTCGTAGTTAACTCTTTTTTAAATAACCCTTTATGAACTGATGACAGCGTTGCTTGGGAAGTACAGAATCAACCTACTTGACACTATTTTTTATGCAACTATTTGAAAAAGCTAGAATTGCCATCACATTTTCGATGAAAATCAATGAAAAGTTTATTATTTTCGTTCCCTTTCCTCTAAAAAATGATTATATGGGATGCCATCAGCCAAACTTGTATTATACGCGCAAAAAGTAAGCATTAAACATGCGATTTACCAAGCCAGTAAAAACATTTAATGAAAATCTGTGTTGAAAATGAATTCTTTTTACAGCATGCGGATCTTCTACTGCCCAAATATGATTGTTGTGGAAATTGTCTTCCACACATTACTATGAGAAACTTCAACTTGAGCTGCTATCGCTCTAGTACTCATTGTTGGGTCATCTTCGACCATTTCTAAAATGTCTTCCTCAATTTGTATCATCTCAGGTTGAGCAGGTCTTCCAGCGTGAGCTCCTCGTTGTTCTTTCAAATATCCTGTCACGAAGTCTAATAACTAAATTTACACACATCGGTGGGGCAGGATCATTCCTTAAAGGAAACCTTTCCGCATATAACCTGCATGCTGCGGCTGCATTGTGTTGGCACTCTCCGAATTATGACACTAGTTCATTGTTTTCGTAAACATGGGCCATTTTTCGCATAAAATAATAAGACAAATGAAAGTATACGCACTATTAAAAGGCTGATCGAACCAAAGACTCGTACTGAAAACCATACAATAACACAAAAAGTTTGTCAAATTTAGATAAACGATAAGAGTAGTAAACAAAAAACGTTAATATTTTACACGGCAGTGGTCGAGAATAATAACATTCCTATTATTTAAATTTTTAATTTTTTACTATTTTTTATTATGCAACTTTTGGTATATCAACTCCGTTTGACGGGGCCTACAAGCAGTTAAAATAAATGACTCAACTTTGAAAACACCCTGTATACATATGGTTTGAATGTAATTTATGTTTATTTAATCATCACTGTTAGTATTTTGGTTCGTCTAAAAAGGGTAGGTGGCAGATTGCTTATTCAGTACTTACTTGTTGCTAAGTAGTAAAGTACTATGTACGAAGCTACTTTACATTATCAACTGGGATAGAATTTGTAGATACAAGCAACACATATTTTGTATTTGTGAGAAAAATCGATTAAGATTTTAAATAAACGATACTGAACAGTTTGTTATATATAATCGTTCATCATTTTTATAATAAATCGAAACATGTAACTTAAAACTGTAGAGATAATTAAGATCCGCACAAGATTAGCCCTTGGTTAGCTTAACTGTAATTTATTTGTCCTTTTTTGACCTAAAATATAACTTGTAAAAAATCATGTCAGCAATATCGTTTCCAAAAATACTTAGGTACCTAGGTGCGAAAGATTAAATTAGTTTTCCAGATGTAGGTGTAGAACTTTATTTCTTATGGGACTTGCAGTAATAATTAATCTCTAAAAGTAACAGGTACAAAACATATGGAATTTGGCCACTGGTGAAGTTTAATAAAATTTTGTGCAGAGATAATTTATGTTGATAAATGTTTCAATGGGCGCAGAGCCCAGGAATGCTTTCTATTTGAGATGCAGAGTGTCAAAGATTAGTGACTTGGCTCCTCTGGATACGACAAAAAAACCGAATTTTCTCAAAATAGTTTTTATTTTTTCTTGGATTTATTTGAGATGAGATTGCAAAATAAAAAGTTTATTAACATTGCCACTTCTTCTCCTCCACAATGTGACATAATTAGAATTTCAATATGACGTTTCGTCTCTTGTACTCAATCATGAACTTTATTTTTTCTGTCGGACATCGTATAGGATTCTTACATGGTTTATAATTCTGTTTTCAATAATTTATATGTTATATATTGACATTACCATACCTTAGTTCATTCAAACACATAATCTTCCAAGTTGGTTTTGAAATTTTAAGATAGTGATTTGTTTCATAATATCATCATCCTAGCATTCCTCCAATTTTTATGAACTAGGCGTAGGCGAACACTCTTTATCTGCGATTTTAATAATAAATTATTATGAATTATTTACCTATGTAAAAATCTAAAATGACATCCATAATAAAAAATAAAGTTGATTATTGAGGACAAGAGACGAAATGTCATATTAAAATTCTAATTATGCCACCTTTCAGACAAGAAAAAGTAGCAATGTTAATATGCAATTTATTTCGAAATCACTTGTCAAATACCTCGCCTCTTTCAGAAATATAGTGAACTACGAAATTTTCTAAGTTTTAGTTTCCTAGTTACCTGACTGCTCAACTTTGCCCCCAGTGAATCGACGCGACGATGTATATTTTTGTTTCCGAAATCTCAATGGTGAGAGTCTAATTTGAATATATAGAATGTATATGTTCACGTGATTTTATTATATTGTATCCTGGGCACACATTAAACACGAATTAGTTTTTGTAAAATCTTGTAGGCAGGCGTACCCTCAGGGGCTAATCTTTGACACCTTGTATCTCTAATAGAAATCATTTCAGGGGTTTGCGCCCGCGGGAACATTTGGAACTATTACTATACAAATTTGACCTGTGGTCAAGCTTCATAAGTTTTACGCCTGGTACTTTAGAGAAAAATCTGAACAGTTAGCAGGTGCTGTCCTTATTGCCTTCCCAAATTCCTTGCTTGTTACACGTTAGGACATAACTTGATCCGCTACTGCACTTAATGTTGACTTTATCTCCGAATAGGTACGATTTTCCTTGTACTATAGTTTTGGAACGCACGTTCGGCTTTCTACAAGACTTCCCTAAAACAAAGATATCTGTTAGTATAAAAAATACAATAGCTGTGACTATGTTATCAAAATGTAATTATAGTAGTAGTAGTAGTGGTGGTGGTGGGAGAAGCCTGGCAACTAGGTCACCTGTCACTTTTGACGCTTTTTGCCGATCCCCTAGTACCAACACTGTACTACCCCACATGCTATCCACCGGAAACTGATTATTAAACCAACTCCAGCGATGCGGTGCACCTATATTGATCTTACACCTAACTGGTTTAATGATAACTCAGCAATCTTCAGGGTGTTTTCTCTGCCATCCTGGCATTATAATTGATTAACGTATTCTACCTGGAGATAAGCGACCACATACTGTACTCTGGAATCTAAAAACGGATCTAAAAGATACTAGCGCCATGTACGAGACAATAGCAGAACACAAAAATGAATTTAGAAATAGAAAGTGTTGGATTGTTCGGTTCTGCTACTGTTTCATAGATGACCTTCAGTCTCCTTTAGTCTTGAACTGGGTTATCTTCAGGCATTGATTAACGGATTCCACCTGAAAATACTCAATCGAAAAAAGCATTAGAGAGGCCAAAAAGGGACTGAACATCCTATAACAATAGCAGATCCAAACGCTATAAATTTTTTTCAAATTTGATATCTGAATGTCTGAATAGAGTATACGGTTGGTTGTCTTCAGCTAGAATCTGTTAAAAGTATTACTTCCATTCGAACAAATCTTACGCATTCACCTATTTTTAAATGAAGAAACCATTATTTTATTAATCCTCTATTCAAGAAATGGTGGATGTGCGAGTATGCACTCGCCTCACGGAGTCGCATAATACAAAAAAATCGAGCAACAACCTAATCCTTGCGAAAAAAATATAACACATGTATCCTTTCTAATAAAAAGAATAGCCTTCCAGTAGATTTAGTGCGTGGGCAAAATGACAATAGAACAGAAATGGTAATAAGAAAATGGTACTTACTAATACATCTTCCTTGCATTCTTGTCCATTTACCGGTAATCAGACATTTTATGCTCCCATTACCAAATATCGTAAATCCATCTTCACATTTGAGATTAAGTACATGACCAAATTTGAATGTAATCGACATCTTTTGTTCATCTGTCAACACAACGTTTTTGGGAACCTGAGGCTTCTCACATTCAATTGCTGCAAATAAAAAAATTTGTTTAATGAAGTTTTCTCAAATAAGATTATTATAGGCATAAGAAAATGTCAGCGGCGTAGCAATACCGTATAAATATGGATGCTCAAAGAAAACATGAGGGTCACACGAAAACTATTTTTTTAATATACGATGCCGCATTTAGTTAGCAATGCAAAATTCTGCTTAAAATGGATTTCATTCCAGAAGCAGTATGGAACCGCAGGGTTATTACGTACAAAACCTATATAATGTCAAAAAAAGGTAAAATTTCGACTTGTTGACCAGGTAGCCGCGCTTACTATAAGATAGCCTGAAATAAATGATAGCTAGTTCAAAGATGAATTTATCATCTTCTTCCAACCGGCACGAATACCTTGATTTTTTAGGAGAATTACCAAATTTTCAAAAATTTGTAATTACAATTCTGGAATGCTATATTGTAAAGGGTATCCCAGTGAGTTCTTTAAGGGGATACTATGGGAATTTGAATTCGACACCGTCTTATGACGAAGGACCGGCACGGGTATTATGTAAAATAACCATAAAACGTCAAAAAAAACTATCAAATGTCATCTTGCAGACTAGGTAGTTTTTAGGGTGCAGTCATTCCACGTTTGCTCTCTAGGATCGTTGTGAGTGTCCATCTATGGAGGAATGACTCAACTACACGCATTGTTGGTTGCATATGTTTTGTGAAGCCGAGTAGTCTGTAGTTTTCACCTCTGAGAAGAAACTTGGTTGAATATCAAGATCGCATCTGGATGATTATGAGTAATGGTCTGCATGTGTATAAAATCAGTGATATTTGCTGTGTGAGAAAATCATTACTGAATATGCTGCCAATGAAGTATATCTATCAGCTGTGAAGACAGCTTATGTTCAAAGTTATAAATTACGATTTTTTACGTTTTTTGTATTTTTTAAAACTTCGAGGAGAATTACGGGAAATCACCACCGCGCCCACGTTGTGTGTCATTACTATTAGCATGTATATGACTTGTAATTCCACAGTGTACAGTGAATATAATTATTTCTTATCTCTCTCATTTTTGAAATTCAGCAAATTTGCATATTTAATGAGAATGGACAAGAAAAAGTGGATGCGCAACTAATTTCCAGCTTTGAATCTCAAATAAGTGTATTTGAGACAAGAATCCAATGGAATTATAATCAACACATATTATTAGCACACAAATCCTCACTATGCACTTAGCATTGCTGTCTCCTTCTAGCTATAGTATACAACTTAGAGCTTAGACCTCCAGAAATGTCATCTCTGAGCAGATTTAACATCACATCAGAGCCTAACATTGATAACTGAAGCCTCATGACGTTTACGCAACACGTACAACTACAAAACGAGTTCACAACGTGTGCATCAGCTTGTGCTAAGTTAACATCTTGTAGAAAAACCTACATAATGTTTTTTAATTTTTTGCAATGGTTATGTTTGATGGCTTGCGAGATCACTCAGACTAACCTCGATTGACCCTCTTCGTGGGGATTTCTAAAGAACACTCTCATTTCAAACAATAGGCATACGAGTAATGACCATTTTTCAGGTTATTGGTGAAATTGTGCCACGTGCCAAAAGCTTACTGGATATTTTGGTCGATTATCATCTGTTAAAAGAGCTGAGGGCACATTTGAGCAATATTATTTACCTATAAAACGTAACTCACTAAACTCCCACGTCCTGATATTACCTATAAACAAACATTTTTCCAAAATTGTCTAATTTATACGCCAAACCCCGAAGTACGTATGGTACATCATGGGCACCCGCAGGAATTTTTCTCAGAGGAGGGGCGATCATTGGTAAGATATAATTTTTTTGTGAAAATGTAGCTGTCCCCAAAGCTTTTTCCCAGGGGGGCAAGTCCTAGAATTCCTCAAAGTTATACTCATAATCGTGCTAAATATGCAAAAGTTTAACTGGATCCTCAGGGGGAAGGGCATGACTCACTAGCCCCCTCTGCAGGCACTCATGTTGTTCACCCTTAATTTTTGAAAAGGAGTCTCAAAATACCCCATACTATAACAGTTACTTTCTGGACGTTATTAATTTTTCCGAGCTTCCTACGCTAACAGCTTTGTAATTGCAGAAATTAGAAATTAACATATCGCCTTTCTTGAAGTTTTATGACTCATTCATAACCATGTCATTCATCTCCGTTGGTCTGTCAGTCCCTAATAATTCTTTAACTTAGAAAGTATCTCGCAGGTTTTGATTAAATTTTCACTCAATTCTACTATCGCAAGAGCGAGAACGCTTTGTAGATTTTAAAATTGGCCTAGTGGCGTTTGAGTAATCATAAAAAATGATAATCTTTGATAACTCTACATTTCAGACGGTTCGACTCAAATTTTGATGAAGCATTAAGAGAAGCACACTGCTTTACTGAGCATTGAAACTTTGTTGATTTTGAGTTGGTCTGGAGGCGGTGGAGCTGCGGTTCAAATACGAAAAAGTTAATGTTGAAAGTTCTACATATCCGAGGCTTCTGAACGTGTACCGAGACAAATTTGGGTGTGAATGTTGTAGGTAGCAGGGACATGTGACGGAAGTATCGAGTTAAATGACTTGTTTTTATGATTATTTTCACCTCAAATTCGAGCGGACAGGTATACTCACCCTCACAGGTCATATTTGGCACAGTCCAATATCCGTCAGTAATACAGGTTGTCATATTGGTTCCCTGCAATCGGTACCCTTGGTTGCACTTGTATTCTACAGCATTCGTACTACCATTTCCAACGGCATATACGGACTCCTGAACGACGATTCCATTCGCTGGAGGTGGCGGTATCTTGTTCACTGGGCATGTGGGCTCTAATCTCTCTGGTATGCATTTTGGAGGCTCGAAATCCCATGAACCTGAAAGGAAAATGATTTAGTAGCTCCTAGAGCAATTTGTACAAAAATCTATTTTTCAAACACTACTACGAGTACAATTGGCTAGGAAGTAATTACGGAAAATTCAGAAATTGATATAGAGGGTTATTGGTGATTCGCCTTCCAGGACATAACAGGAGACCTAAAATACAACAAATTGCATCCTGTCATATTCATTCGTGTAAAGGTGCTTAACTCATAACAAACAGCCAGTCATATCAACTAATGAATTAATTTAAAAAATCATGCGCAATAGCCTCTTAGTTGCAAAAAGAAGCCTGGACTCACTTTATAGCTCCTGCTTAGCCCACCTCGATTATTTGACCTGTCAAAAATGTCTATTTGTTAAAAATCAAAGTCTTTCACACCGATTTTCAACACCTTTTGGGACATGATTTTCTTACGACTTACACGCTCAATGTATTAGCAATTTCTAGAGATGGACATTGTATTTTTGCACTTTTTATGATGATGTTAGCTTATTTTACTTCTTTTGTTATTTACGCTCAAATGCACAATTTTGGTTGCATCTAACACATTTGTTTTGTAGTTTTCAGAGAAATTTGTGCTACGGAAAATATGCACACAACATCGTTTCCGCCCTCCTTCGGAGAGCGTAAAAAAGTATTTTGAGTCATGATCTTTTTCCACTCTTCTGTTTTACTACCCACGCCTACTGGCGGGGAAGTATTGTAATCGCGAAAATTTTCGAAAATGAGATTATGTTTTTTAGATGTTGTATGACATGTACATCACGAAAAACCCTGTCATATTTCCGTCTGTCCGTCGGTAAGCCCGCTAATATTATAACCGCCTATAACTTGAGAAGTATCGCTCGAGTTTCGATGAAATTTTCCGACAAAGTTATCACTAGAGTTACTACTCTGCCAAAGATGAAAAATGTAAATTTTTTGAAACTCGGTCCAGTGGCGGCAGAGAAAAAGACCTAAAAAGAAAAAAGTAACAGTCGCCCAATCTTCGTTTTTCGACGTTTCAGAGGATCCTGATCATTTTTGAAAAAAGATTTAGTGGTAAAAAATAGGGGATAGGGAGGGGAATACTATGTTAAAAAAAATGAGAAAAACCCTTCATGTGTTATCACGAGACTTAAAACAGTGAGTGATGGTGCCCATTTCCTCCAAATTTGAAAAACGTGACAAAAATTGAAAACCGTGCAACTTTTAATAGGCACAATTTTCAATTTTTTCAATCGTTATGACGTCTTCTCAACTCGTACAGTTTATTCAAAGTCAAACCATACATGAGATATCAGATGTTCGATCAAAAAGTGGAAAAGGGAATAATAACGATCGGGTATGGCATTGCATAATGAATTGTGATGAAGAAATATAATAGAATGCATGGCTTTAAATCAAACTACAAATGTTGAATAACTTGCTTTAGTAAATTTTAACTGTTCCAGCTATTTTTTTCACAGTACAAGTCTAACTCATCAGCTATCAAGTGTATCTTTTGGAATATACAAGGTGATTCAATGAAACGGTACGATTTCAAATAAAAAAAAAATTAACAAATATCTTTTCATTAAATTTAATAAAAAAAACGTATACTACACAAATCGAAATTAATGTGTAAGTGAATAATTGTTCAGTTTTTGAAGATGATATTGGAGAGGTGGCCTCCATTTTGTTGGAAACATTCTTGCAGCCGTGGTACGAAGCTGTTTACGACATTGAGTAACATTTCTTGAGGTATTGCTTCCACGTCTTCACATCTGTACTTTCACAGCCTCGATAGTTCTTGGGGGATTACTTTGAAACGCTTTCGACCTAAGATAATAACCCCAAAGAACTGGAGCGCGGGACGGCAAATGGTAGTGTAAACGAAACGCTCGTTGTACACGTACAAAACTTTCACCATTTTTGTAATAAGCTTCCACAGCAAATGCGCGTTGTTCACTTAACCACTTCTCCATGTTAACTGATGTTAACTAAACTTCCCACTCTCTAAACTGAATCCAAATTCAAGATGAGATGTAAATAATAACAGTTGGCGCGTGATCTCTCGGTAACAGCTGCGGACAACGCCTCTAATTGGTCAACTCGCCATTAAATTTCAAGCGGTCGCCTGGCGGAATAATGCGCGGGGCAGGGGCAGGGCAGGCAGAGTTGCATTCAGGCCACCGACCGTCGCGTGTATCACTGCGTGCTCGTGTTTTCGTATTCACCTTGCTTGGTTGTTGCTGTTGTTGTTGTTAAGTGTATCTGAGTAATTTGTTAAGTTTCTGTTTGTTATTGTTATTTCTCGTTATTATTTGTTTTGAACCAATCCTGAACATGTCCAGTACAGATACTGCTGACGAGGCTGTAGGCTACTCCCTTAGCCCTCCTAGAAAGCGATAAAAAAGACATCTTAGCGTAGACATGAAAGACGTCATATTGAATACATTCAAGATAGAGCGGAAGGAAGACGAAACATCAACTAACCCGAAAATAAGTCTGAAAGTGGCAGATAAAATTGGGGTATGCCAAGCGACAGTGTACAATGTTTTGAACGAACATAAGAAAAAGCATGCCTTTTCCAAGCCAATGACGGGTAAAAATCGCATATCATAAGATACTATGCACACATAGCAATGTGGGAGCTGGACAACATAATTGAGAGAGATTTTGAATCCATCATCATAAACATTAATGACGATAGCTCTTCAAGTGAGTCTGAGTAAGTTTCGCGTTTTTGTTTTGTCTCAGAATACATATTATGGGAATCCTAGTTATAGTGATATATTAACTACAGACAATGCAAGTCCGAAGTGCACCTTCAAAATCTATTTTCAATTGATTGAACAGCCTTATATTTATTCCATGTACAAAAGTGTCATCTCTACCAGTCGTTGACTATGGATTCATTGTGCATAGTGATAAATAGTTTGATAAATCTGTAGAAAAACTTAGCACCCCTTCAAGAATAAAAATTTGATTTTGCGACACCCTTAACTATAACTACTTCACTATATTAGATAATTTCGTTAAATACTGTCATCTTTGTTTTACAACACGTTGGTGGTAGTCCATTATTCGGAGGTAGCCCTGAATGCGGTCCTGTACGCCGTCCTTGCTTTTGGCAATCACGCATCCATTGTAACTTGGGTGTAAATACACTTATAGATTCACAACGTTTACGTCGCAAGCCCGCAATTCCTCTATTTTTCTGCCAGAAGCGTTGGCAAATCGTGCCGTTTCACTGAATCACCTTCTACTTTAAAAAGCTGCAGGGACAGTCGACTCAACATCTGATTTTTCACTTAGATACTGCCTAGAACGATATGAAGATGGAACATAATGTCAACTTACCGTCTTCTAAACAAGTCATGATACTCTGTCCACTCATATTCGTCTTCGCATTGCAAGTGAATTCAATCTGGGTACCCTCATCGAAAGTAACATTTTCGTTGTAATTCTCATAACTCACATCCGAAAAAATCTCTATCTCGCTGTGAGCCGGCTTCCGAAATGCGGGGCACTGCGTTCCTATGCATTTTGGTCTGGATGAATACCATTTGTTGTCGTCCATACATGTAACAGTTGCATCTCCGATCATACTGAAGCCATCGTAGCATCTGTACGTCACTTTATCCTGGAAGTAGAATCTGTTTCCTAAAGGGTAGCCGTTTCTGATATCGCCCGGATAACCACAGTATATCCCTGAAAAGAATGAAAACGGCGTCAACGCTTTCATCGGTTGCTATAGGAATGCCTACGAGTAAGCGCGATACCCGATACGGCCAACTGTTGTACCCGTTGCTCGGAAATCATTCTATTCGCAAGTCTTGAGAGCAAATTTAGCGATAAATCTAAATCTTACCGGAGTTAGAAGTCTATATAGTATACAGCAAAAAAATTGAGACACCGTCACATCCTAAGTGTGCGTCCATACTGAATGCGGTGATTAGGGCCTAAGCCGGGTGCGACGAATCTTATACGGACAACGTAGAGGAATACCCTGACAATGTTAGATACAAGCATAAAGCGAAATTTGCAGATAAAATCCTTGTCAGGTGTGCAATTTATAACATGGGTGTATCTCAACCTTTTGTGGGAAGAGTGAGGGGAGAAGCTTTGAATAGTCAGAGCTAGGTATATTGATAGCTGCCTTTCCAAATTACTTCAGTTTGTATACGAACATCACGCTGATGACCATATCATGCTGTGGCCATTACTCAAGAGATATCCAAACCTGGCTTCGACAAAAAAAATTAGGTCAAGCTAAAAAAAGGCTTTTAGGAGATTCCTGAATTTTTAGTTTGAATATGGAGGAAAACTCTAAAAAGGATGGAGCTAGTGGAGGAGTGGAGAGTGTGGCCTCACTGAGTGAAAAGGGATTTTGTACAGAGGAAGTTTTGAAAAACTAAAAGATTATACCACTTCGATTCAAGAGAAATTAATAAAAGAATTGTACGAAAAGATAGACCAATTAAACAAAAAAATTGGGAAGATGCAACAGCCGTCACAAGAAGCAACTTACGCTGATATGGTTAACGCTTCAGGGCCTTTAACCGTTAATTCGCCTACAACAATGGTAGAATATAAGCAGCAATGCTTACCATTGCAAACACGTACAGCAAAAAAACAATCACCAGTATTAAAACCCACAAATACAGTCATTGTTAAGCCTAATAACCAACAAGAGTGTAATAACAGAAAGAAAGACATCGCAAAATTTGTTAATCCTACCAGTTTGAAAATTGCTATTGAAAAAGTTTATGAATTGAAGGATGGTGGGGTGAAAATCCAATGTAAAACAAAAGATGCTAACGCGAAGCTACATAAAGAAATAAAATCAAAAATGCCAGAAACATATACAGTGAAAACTTCAGAGATAAGTAAAAAACCACAAATCAAAGTTATTGGATTTTGTCAAGAATATGCAGAAGACGAGCTAATAAATATTATGAAATCACAAAATGAATCTTTTCAAGGAAAATTCACATATGAGAGTAATTGCAGTCAAGAAAATGAAAATTAAATATCAAGCAATTTTAGAAGTAGATGCTGTGACTTTTAAGTGTGTTATGAATCAGGCTGTTATTTTTATCTACATGTCTGTTTGCTCTGTTTTCGAGTACATCAATGTTTTGCGATGCTATAAATGTACCGGATTTAACCAAACAGCTAAATACTGCACAAAATCAGGAAGATGTATTACTTGTGGATTAGAAGGACATTCAACAGAAAACTGTAGTACCAGTGAAATGTACAAATGCTGTCCAAATTGTAAAAGTGCAAACCAGGATTTTAATCTAGGATTACTTATAAATCATGGACCATTTGACAAAAATTGTGAAGTATATAAAAGGAAAATTGAGCGTGAGAGGGAAAAAATTAGTTATGCAAATGAATAACAACTACTAAGCCCAGATTTGCAAGACGTGGCTAAATCTGTAAGTGATGAATATAACTCAATATACCATTTAAACATACAAGGAGTCCTGAATAATATAGATGAAGTTCAACAGTTTTTAAGATGGAGAAAACCACTTGTATTATATCTTACCGAAACACATGCTACAGAAGACATCACTGATGGTGAATTACAAATTACTAATTATAAAACCTACAGATGCAACTCCAACTCCAGACATACTGGAGGTGTAGTGATTTATGTTTACCACAAAATACAGATCACATTATTGAATTGTACCACTTTAGACTATGCATACTGGTATGCACATATACAGTTCAAATTATTTGGGAAACGTTATGATCCTTGTACTTTTTACAGTTCACCAAACAGTGATGCGGATACATTTTTAACGTTTTTTGAAGAAAAATGCAAAGAAATGTGGAATTTTAGAAACAATATAATACTTTTAGGTGATTTTAATTTAAATTATTATGGTAAAAGCATGAAAACAAGAAAATTGAAAGAAACCATAAATAACTACGGGTTCAAGCAAAAAATTGAAGAGAGTACCAGAATAACATCATTATCAGAGACCTTGTTAGATCTTGTTATTGTAAATTTCGAATGTGCAGGGATTAAAGCTGTACATACACCTAAAGTTTTTGATCACAGTTGGACAATGCTTCCCTTGGTAGGGCAAAAATTAAGAAAATCGTAAATACTATTAAGTACGAAAAACTTGAACGAGAACTGACAACATAATAGGAAATATAAAAACTTGTTGTCGACAAAAAATACACCTTGGTATAACAAGAATATTAACGAAGCCCAAAATTTAAGAGACAAACAATACAATAAATGTATATTCACAAAATCAAATGATGATTGGGAGGTATATAAAACTCTTAGGAATAAATGTGTGTATATATTTAGAGAAGAAAAAAGGAAATTCTACGATAAACAAATCGATAATAACAAGTACGACAGTGTAAAGATGTGGAAGACTTTAAAAAGACTGATCAATTCGAAAACGGTACCGAAACAAATTCTTTGGTGATTGCAAACAAACTAAATGAATATTTTGTGGAAAGTATTTTTGATATTGTGGGTACTGCCAATGCTGCACCTGACTATACGAAAATCAGTTTCCAGGGGGAAATGTTGCATACACTTTCAAAATTTCACAGCGTATCATTGAATTATCTAAGAAAAAAGTAAACAGTTTAAAATCAAATAACAACTGTGCCGAAATCACTACTAAAACGTGCTGAAAAACTGTTTCGAAATTTTGGGATATCCTGTATTAAATTGGATCAATTGTTCACTGAGGAGCAGTTCTTTTCCTGAAAATTTGAAATGCTCTACAATAACACCAGTTCCCAAAATAAAAAATTCTAAAAGATGCAGCGATATGAGACCAGTAAATGTGTTACCAGACATTGAAAAATTATTAGAGTCCATAGTGCATGACCAATTAATGCAGTTTATAGAAGAAAACAAAATTTTAGTGGAGGCGCAAGCAGGCTTTCGAAAAAAATATTCCACAGAAACGGCTTTCCAGTTGGTAACTGAGAATTGGACAAGAGCCATAGACCCGGAAGAAGTTGTCATAGCAGTATTTTTGGATTTGAAGAGGGCATTTGAAACGATTGATAGAGATATTTTGTTAGGTAAATTGAAGGCATATGGTATAACAGGAAATGTTTTAGATTGGTTTAGAAATTATTTGTCTAAAAGGATGCAAGTTACAAAAGTTAATGACACTATTTCATCAAAAATTGAAAATACGTTGGGTGTTCCACAGGGCAGTATCCTGGGACCACTTCTTTTTATTTTATACATAAATGATTTACCTGCCATAGTAAAAAAATGCAAAATTCAGATTTTCGCCGCTGACACTATGATTTATATAAGTACTAAAAATATTCAGTCTGGTATCTCTTGTATAAATGAAGACTTGAAACTTGTCTCAAAATGGTTAGCATCTAACAGACTAAAATTAAATACAAGTAAAACGAAAGACTTGTTAATCGGAAAAAAACAATGCACAAATATTCAACTGAATATTGATGGTGAAGATATTGAATTCGTAGAAAGTTTTAAATACCTGGGGGTTTTTGTTGACTCTCGATTAATTTTTGATATTCATTATGAAAAAGTTATAAATAAGATTAGTAGTAAAGTGGGATATTTATCGAGAGTTTCTGGATGTCTGAGTTCATATCGCAGAAAAATTATCTATAATACCATCATTCTTCCGAATTTCTTGTACTGTTCTATATTTAGCAAATAATTCCATTTTTGAAAGACTGCAAATTTTACAAAATAAATGCATGAGAATAATACTAAATAAAGATAAATATACTCCAATTAGGCAAATGCTTAGCAAATTAAAATGGCTCAATGTAAAAAATTTTATCAAATATCTTGTAATGATATTCTTTTATAAAGTAAAAAATAATATATTTCCATCAAGTCTAACTAATTTAACATCATCAAATGTCGACCATCATTCACATAATACCAGAAATAAAGATGACTTCCATTTAATGACCAAAAAGTATAACGTATGTTACAAATCTGTATTCCATCAAGGGTTGATTGAATATAATAAATTATACTCAGAGATAAAAGACCAGAAAACTTTGACAAAATTTAAAGTAAAATTGAGAAATCACTTGTTAAATCTACAATTATAGGTTGCCCAGCATTAACATCATACACCATATGGCTTGAATTTACTAGTTCTAAGTTATTATTATATAATTATTCTGTTTATGTAGCCAAATGTGCTAAATAAATCTTTGTACTACTACTACTACAAACGATAAACCTTCAAACATGCCACATGCTCGCCCAATAGAGGATTTTTGGGCTTTACTGTCTATGAAGGTTTATCATGGAGGCTGGGAAGCCCAAGATGAAGAACAATTAAGACGGTGAACTTAAGAAAAACTGAGAGTAATTGATCTGAATTCCTTCCAGGACCGCATGAGAGACATTCGAAGAAAGTTGTGTCTAGCAGAGCAGAATGAGCCACTCTACAAAATTCGATAGTGTAGTTTATTCAAGTATTGAGTAATAATTTATGATAACTAGTTAGTGCTTAAATAAATTTCTTCATTAAACAAAAATCCGATAATTATTTTGTGCCAAAAGTTTTAGGACATACGTTACAACCCCACCCCCAATTTGTTAACCCTCAATTTATTTTCAAAAATGAGCGGAATGTAGTTGATCTAAAATAAATCGCATTGTTTCGATACTGGCATAGCAACAAATTCACGTAAAACGCGAGACAGGGACAATACATTTTGGTGATGAGTGATTAAATATGTTGCTCGGAAAAATAGGCCATGTGGGTCATGTGGAGAAGAGTACTTCTTAGCTCTAAACTAATAGCCTAGCTTTTCTCAGCAGCTGCCGCTATTGACGAGATGTGTTCGAGCCAGATCAAATCCTCGGCGTTCTGGACCAAAATGAACGGCTTTTTGGCAGAACTCTCGAAACAGAATGAGCGCTGGGACGCTTTTTGTTCGTCAAGGTACTGTGTTTTGGAAGCAGTAAACTGTACAAGATTGTTGCGTCCCCAAGCAGTGATACCGCCAGGTCTCTTATCAGAGAGGAAGTCGCTGCTAGTCATTATTTTGCCAGCTCAGCGGCAGAGATCGACTTGTCACTTTGAATTCCTGTATGTAGAGTGCTGTCATCAGCCATGCTATGGATTGGATTAATCGTACAGGAAAGGATGTCGTTGATACGTAAGACTAAAAGTGTCGGAGCCAAGACCGATCTCTGGGTGGCACCCGCGTTGACGTTATGGAAGGAAGAAGAGAACCCGCCAATTAAATGTTGGTTCCATATTCAGAAAAGGACCACAAATCTTAATAGTGCTCACTAGATAGACTTTCACATTACCATAATTATTATATATTAGTTACGTAAAATAGGCTGCAAATTACTTGTGCAATATGGCTCCAAGCTATCTTCCCATTTGGAAGCCTTTGTACACCGCCTTCCTTCAGAATATATTGCTGAGTTGAGCTGAAATCCCTTGCGGCAACTGTAGTAAACGGCATTATCCAACACATTTGCATATCCATTTGGAACTTCTTTTGGGCGTGGACATCTCAAGCAAAATGTTGAGTTTTCTTTCTGAAACATAATTTGAGTGCATATGTCTATAAAGTGATTCAGAAACTTTATCAGAATTGCTTTATGAAAGACGTACACTTAATTGACTCAACATGTAGACCTCTGAAATTATTGCGTCACTCGTTCTTCAAAATCGGTTTTAAATTTAGACAGTTTTTCTTATTGATAGTCCCTAAATACCTACATACATACATATCTTTGGCCTCCATAAACGGGTCTTTGTTAACGGTCTTTTTTTGGTACCGTGGGGCTATAGGGGGATACAGGGAAAAGAAGGAACGCCACCAGGAATCTAGCGAGGGACACGTGTGCCGTAAAGATCCGCCGGGTAGTACCTCTACCATCGACAATTCGAGACCGTCTGCCACCTATGCTGCAAGAATTGATTACTAAGACCGTTGTTACCTTGATGCTGCCTTTGATGTGATCCTGCATTTTTGGCCATGGATAGATATTTCCAAAAATGGAATCGTTGCAATCATTGAAGTGTTTCTGAATCTCTTTGTGATTTAGGACTTTCGACCAAACATCGACGTATGCCATTTTACCAATAAATGTTTCTGACTGACTGAATCTGCCACCCATAACATCCTGTTCTTGACCGATGATCAAGCTTCCTAGTCCTTTAACAGTAATATTAACCGCTTCATCACTTGTTCAGAGCATGGTGTTTTTATGTTTTAAGGGTTACTTTTATTTTGTTATTAACACGTCGAGATACCTCGTAGGTTGTTTACCTGCACAGGACCCCAGCTACGAGCTATCATGAAGCTTCTTTACAGATCAATTTTGTATAGCTACAACACAAGTACAGGGGGACCAGTGGGAAGGTTCAAATTTCCAATTTGAATTACGCGGCAACCGTATACGCGAGGCGACGCGTGTGGGTTAAATAGTCACAATGGAACGTTGGACCGGAGTGCAACGTGCTTTTGCTATCGAGGGTTACTTTAAGAGTGGTGATTCATAGGCGGCTGCCCTTCGGAAATTTTGTACACGATACAGCATTCGCAGAGAGATGTCCCAAGTAAGAACCTCTTGAAATGGTGGATTAAGAGGTTCCATAAAACAGGCTCTATTCTTGGCCAACCCATTCCTGGTTCCACAGTTACTGTATCGATCAACGAAAATGTGCGTCGAGTTAGTGATTCGGTCATAGCAAATTCTCGGCGTTCTGTACGGAAGCATTCCGCTACTTTGGGAATCCCTAGGTCAACACTGCATGGCATAATGAAGAAAAAAATGGGTTTAGATCCTTATAAAATCCAATCAGTCCATGCTTTAAAGGAAAGTGATTACGTATTACAGGAATCGTGTGCTGAACAGACGTTGAATCTTTTTTCTACGCAGCGCAGACTCGAGAACGTTGTTTTCAGTGACGAGGCCCATTTTTACTTAGACGGATATGTGAACGAGTGAAATTGCAGATATTGGGCACCAACGAACTCAAAAGAGAATCATCAACAATAGCTACATAGGCCAAAGGTGACTGTTTGGTGAGCCATATTCTCTAGCGGTATTATTGGCCCGTATTTATTTGAAGTTGAAAACGGTCATGCATTGACAGTCAATTCCGAGAGATACAAGGACATGATTGACACTTTTTTGCTCGTATTGTAATAACAGAACGTCGATTTAAGAGAATCTCATGGTTCCAACAAGATTGGGACCATTGCCCATACTTCCAGAGAATTGATAGTAATAAATATTTTATTTTCATTAAGTTTGTATTTTTTTTAATCAAAAAGTGAACTTTCACACTGGACACCCAAGAATAACGGTGTAAATATGATTATTTGGCATTTGGGAAGAAAATAAAAAATCAGGGTTGAGTTAAATGAGCACAACAGGTCGAAGCGTGTTGTAGACGCCGGGGACACATCTGGTTCTTTACTTCCGCGAAAAGATTTCTGTTACTTAAGCCAATTACTCCTAATACGTTTTTTTTTTTCTGAAAAAATACATTCTACAAGCTATTAGTTAATATGAACTATAATGAACCTTTTAATAATATAATATGAATGAAACAAATCGGCTTCTGAGACCCTTGAAATTATCAGCAATCAACATGTTAAGATACCAAATGCAATATCGTTGTTTCGGCAAAGTCCCCTGATACTTATGTTGTATGTACTTTCATCGGGCTACTGACTTTGAAATCAAGATAGCTATTCTTATTTTCAATATACCTTCAATAATAGTTCCTGCAGAAAGATTGTCACCAGATTTAACCAGATTTCCTTCAAGGAAAACTTTATAGGATCCTTTCTCACTTGCCCATGAGACGCAGATATGATGCCACAGAGCATCATTTAGTAAAACATCTGTCACTACATAGTTATTGTTAATGTAAATAACCAACCTAAAAATGCAATTGATGTCACATAATAGCCATACATCGCTTATATTATTAGAGTGTTCTGTTAGGCACTTAGCGAAGTGCATTTCTCTATGAAATCGTGTTCCACATTATTTCAAAATGCACTGAATGCATCATTTGTGCACCAAAAAACACTTGTTTTCTACTTCTAAGTATTTGGCACTTCTGTTCACTGGTGCCACCAATGTGGTGTCCTTTGGAACATCCAAAAAACTTAAAAAATCCAAAGAATTTTCTAGAAGTTGACTCTTATTGATAGTTCGGCATTGACTAAATTTGTTACCACTTTGTTTCTATCTTTGGTATACAAGTTAGTTAACAAATGGAACAGCCTTTCACGATAAGCATTGCATATTGGGATCTGTAAGACCATATATATGTTTGTTTACATTTTTGACCGCAATTAGGTCACAATATTTAAAAATATACTTAAGTGGCATATAAAATGCAACATCCAGAATTATTATTGAATTTTGATAAAAACTTGTAAACATATTTGCTATCATGGAAGTATACCCTGATAAAATGTTGAAGGCATTCCGGGCCGTACCTTTTTTGTAAAGGCTTTTTTGCCATATCATGAATCGAACAATATAAACAGGGATTTTTCTGTGTTGTTTCCATTTGTTTTATTGCATTATCATGCCTAGAGTTCGCAGACGCGCTAATTTCACCCAACTTTCCGAGCTTGAGAGGGGTCGAATAATTGGGGTACGTGAAGCCGGATTTTCTTTTAGAGAAATCGCTAATCGGGTGAATCGAAACGGAGCTAATGTAATGAGATGTTGTCAAGCGTGGTTCCAACAAGGCTAAAATCGACAAGTTAGAGGTACTGGACGTCAAAGACAGACTACAGAGCGACATGATCGTTATTTGAGGCAACTAGAACTTAGGGATCGATTTTCCCCAGCAAGGACAGTTGCAAACGAGTGGTTTGATGTTGTCAGAAGAGCTATAACATTGGGACAGTTTTTCGCTGAATAAGGTCTTTTGTATTATTTTCATACCGGCCCCATCTTGTACTACCTCTGACCCAACATAATCGTCGGTATCGATGGCTATGGAGTAGGGAGAGACGAATGGAATACAGAATGGAACTTAGTCATGTTCAGCGATGAATCCAGATTCTGTTTGGGCACACATGATGGATGTGCAAGAGGAAGGGGGAAAGATGGAACGTCCACTTTTCCATCGAACGGCATATTCACCGCACTGTGGCTGTTACGGTACCTAAAACTTGTAAAATTATGCTCAAAATTACAGCACTCCTAGTCAGGGTTGCATTTTCTGTGCCATTTTGTATATTGTCTTTGTCTTTTGGAATATACTTAATTATTTCTTTGAGGTAACAGCAATCAGAATGCGAAGAATCTTTTTACACCGCGTAATTTTAGATTTCCCTAACCTTAGATTTGGGTGTTATTGTTTGTCAGGACAATTTGTATTTAGCCGGGACTCATGAAATTGACGAATCCCGACTATCTGGGAATATTGGAGTATAACCCATTTTTATCAAACACGTCAAATTCACAGGTCTAGCACATTTTTGTGATGCATTTTCTATATAAATTTATCATATTTACTTAGGTATATCGTAGCTAACATATTTTCTAAATTGTCCTATCAATCAGTCGGTACAACTCGAGCAGTTACGCGGTCATTTTTGTTTATGGTGGATGCGCATACTATTAACCCAGATATGCCTACAGCTCAAATAAATTATAATAAAGTATGTTCTCTCCAAATTCATTCTATATGAAGCATATATTAAACAAATTTATAATTTTTTAAATTTTATTTTCGGAAAAAGTGTAAAAAAATGCCGTACAAAATATGGTAAACTAGGCACATAGGCGAACATTGAGGTTTGGTATGGAAGGACAAAAAACATTTTACATGCATCCCTACATTGCACTTAGAGCACCTTGTTTTTGCTCTATTATGAGATACGCCACATCTAGTTGGCTTTTCCTGTGGTATCACAAAATTATCTAGGGTCAAGTGGTGCAAAAATGAGACAGCCGAAATTTCGGTCAAAAACAAGACAGTCAATTTTTCCCAATGCAAAAAACAATAACATTGTAAAAAATACGTTACAAATTACTTCCACATTTATATACAATTGAAATATGTAATGAATAATAAATTAACGTAAACACAAACATCGAGAAAAAACTACCGCGTCTGATTGTGCATTTTGCTTAAAAAATCTTTTAAATTGTATTTACAAACTTTTCTTGTTGCGCCGCTATACGTGATCGTAGAGACTCGGCAAGTATCGCGTTTTCAAAATAACAAATGCGGCTATGATATTCCATATCGAATTTAGTCTATTTTTATTTGTTGGCAAGCAGGCACGTCGTGAATAACAGGTGCAAAAACAAGACACCACAAAGTTTAAAAACAAGACACCTGCCAGGTAAAAAACAAGACAGCTTTTATACCTTTGATAATAATGCCGAAGGTCACGTTCCCAAAAAGCGCCCCTACGACAAAAAGAACATGGAAACCCCTAAAACTAACAGAGAATGGCACTTTATCTCTTAGCAATGCAGCACAGTTTAAAATTGACAAATCTGCTCTTTCGAGAAGACGTACTCGTTCACTTGGTAAACAGGGAAGAAAAACTTCTCTAACCAAAGAAATGGAAGTAGACTTAAGTGATAAGATAAAAATTATGGCAAAATGGGGGTTTGCTCTCACTAAACCAGAGATACAAGCAATAGTTCAAACCTATGTACACCTTACTACCCACTTTAAGGAAGGAAAGCCCGGGAAAGATTGATTTAAAAATTTTTGTAAGCGCAATAGACTAAGGGCCGTATCGTCAGTCGTCCCTACAATTGTAGGGCGCCTTTATGGCCTCCTTGTTTGTCATACTCCTGTCGCTCCTTCAAAAATTTCTAAATTCCACTTGTCCCGTGTCAGCGTCAGCGCTCTCCTATTGTGAAGATATGCTTTCTTTGTAAATTGTAGGAAATTTCAGGCTAATAAAACATGATATAACTCAAAAGTAAGCATAATTTGATGCAAATAGATGTTTGTGACATAAGCTCAAAATAGAGTTCTGACACGGAGAAGTAGAAAACTATGACAATCAAGGAGGCCATAAAGGCGCCCTAGAATTGTAGGGACGACTGACGATACGGGCCTAAGTAAAAAAAACGCAAAAAACGCAAGTTTACTAAGTGGCACAAATTCTTAAAGTTTTTGAGAGCGATGTAGAAGTAAAATATCTGAGGCGCAAAGGATTTAAATTTATTTTTCCGGCCATTGAGGAAAAGTACTTCATCGACAAAAGTGACATAGAAATGAAACTTCCCCAGCCAGAAATAGAAAGTAAGACCTGTCGTATCTCTCAGCAATATTGGTTTCCTATCGACTTTGAAAAATACGTCGTTCAATAATATGTAGTACAAAATACGTTAGAATGATAAGTTTTCTACTTTAGCTCTTAAAATCCTATTGAAAATCTTGTTTTACCCCTTTTTTGAATTAGGTATGGTTTATTTAACTTGTTTTTGGATTTGTTTACTTTTCAGTTTAATAAACATAGTTTTGCATTTAATTATGTGAGTTTTCTTTAAGAACGTTGTCACAATTTAAAACCTAACTATGTTATTTGACTTACTAAACGCTTTAAAACCCTTGCAGTGTGTCTCGTTTTTATTCCCCAGGGTCTTATATTTAGCCACACTGATGTAAAATGACTAAAAGGCCAGAAAATACAGTGTCTTGTTTTTAACCTCTCACTGTCTCATTTTTAGCCTAAATAGTGGTTAAAAACGGGACACGGTTTTTTAACAAAAACGCTCTTCATTATGAATATTATGAACTTTTTTTAACGTGAATATAACAAAGCCTTAAAGTCCGGTTTTTTGTTAACAAAAAATTAAAAAATATAAAAATCGTCTCGTTTTTGCACCACTTGACCCTAAACGATCATAACGAATATCTATGTATATATTCATTAGCCGAAGGACGTCCTCTAGGTTTCTTGTTTTGTTGTAACAAGGCCGTGGCAAGCCGCCGTCTAAATAATAATTGATCCATATGTCCTCCGTGCGATCTATAAAGTTGCCAGGAATTATGAACAGCCATATCAATACAGTGGCTGACCAATGAAAAATACCACCTTTTACCCCGGATGGAAATCCGATACAGACCAATATTTTGATCACAACGATCAATGCCGCCCATATTTGCGTTGTATACATTTACAAGATGAGGCTGTTCTACCTAAAATCAAAAGATACTTTTTTTATCCTTTTGAGAGTATCGCTTTACCAAGCGAATTGGTTGCAATCCTGCGGCATTTGAACATGCCATTTTACTGCAATTATGTTTGTATCGGAATTTTTTTTGTAATCGTAACTACCTCTTTTTTCCCTTTTCATAATTTTCGAATCTCTGAATTGGACGCCTTGTGAACGATTTTCTCTAGCAGTACCAGTCGCAAACACATTTTTTTCTGTCAATTTTACCATAAGAGGAAGAGAAGTGAAAACATTGTCGAAAACTAAATGAAATTTTCCATTTGGCATTTTCTCCTCAGTGCATCAGAATACACCACACCAGTACCAACCCAAAAATCTGCATAATTCTTACTAAAGTTGGTTGACGACCCTTGGTAAGGTTCAACCCAGTAAACGTAGCCTAGTCTTGATGCGCCAACCCATAATTTATAGCCGTATCGTATAGGTTTTCCGTGAATGAACTGTTTGCACGAGTGTCTCCCAAAATAACGAACCATTGCCTCCTCTACACTATGCATTTCTGTCAAAATTCCATGTTCCATCAATTTTTGATGCAGGCTCGCAAATAAAGGTCTAACTTTTGCAAACTTATCTCCTTGCTGTAAATTTTAGTTATCTACTAAATGGAAATTTGACATAAATGTATCTCGTGTAAGCGCTTCTGTGACGAGTTGATTATTAGCATCTCTTTCACGTTCCCAGAACATTTTTCTACGTGGTACATCGACATAACCACTCAATATTAGTGTTCCAATAAATGCCCTTATTTCATACTCTTGCACCTCTTGTTGGCGATTCTTTTGCCTGGCATATCTATTTGTTTCAGTTGTTATGCGTGTTATAAGTTCGCCGTCAAAAAAAAGTGTAAAACATTCAAGTGGAGTCTTAGAAGAATTATTTTGTTCAAGAATTTCTTCGAAGTTTCCTGGAACTTCTTGTGGTAGATCCTCCTTCACCCATTTGTACGTTTTCCGTTTCTTTAGCTTTTTATTTTTTTAGCCAATTCTTCGGAATCAGATGAAGATATGCTAAATTTTCCATAAGGTACAGGGATATTTATCTCAGCAGGTGCTTGTAATTGTGAACCCAGTAGATTATCAGCTGACATTACATTCTCATCGCCGGAGTCCTCATCTGTGAGACTGTCACAAGCATTGATTGGAGGCATCAATGTGATATTATCCACATTTGCTACTACATCTTCATTATCCTCCAGCATAGCAAGGGCTTCCTAAAGAGAAAAGCCCCTAAAAATGAAACAGGCATGTATTTTCCTGGCGTACAATATTTTGCACACTCAAATATAATGACGCAATTGTGAATCCGAAATAATAACATAAGTAATTTGGCATTATGACTGGAAAAAAGCATGTGTGTTTTATTGGTAGAAGCAATCAAAACATTTTTTTTATTTACGTAAAGACCATATATTTACTTACTTGGCAAATCGTATTCCATATTCAGCCATGTCACAAAAAATAAAAACTTCTTCACAAAATCGCAAAAAAATCTCAATACAACCATAACACCCAACCGCACGTTACGATTTACTTAAGGCTTACTGAATACATCTGTGCTTTTACCGCGTCAAAATAAGCACAGGTCGTTGCAAGTCGCGACTTGTTTACGGTGTACCATAAATTGTACGCTAGGCATATCTGGGTTAAGCATATCGATATAGGTGGCAAGGCAGGCGTAATTTGTAACAAATATTTTACACCAACATTTAGCCAAATTTATCAATTGTGGGTTCAGAGGCCTGTCAGTTTTGCTTTTTGCCTTAATATGTGGCTCAACGAAGACTGATCAAAACATCCACTTCAAAAATTATACAATTTTGACCGGAACAGGAAATCTATTTCTGTGGCCATTACAAAAGAACCTGTAGCGTTACATACTTGTAGGCAATGTTGTAGCAAATGTCGTCATTTTTTTCATTCTCAATCGGTTATAGCTGCTTCCTATACTTTTCTTTGTTACTGAATCTTTGTAAAATCTCGGTGCAACTTAATGCAATATGTGTGTAAAACCCTTTTGTATCAACTAAATAAATTATCAAATGCTTAGTGAATTTAACTCCTACCCTGTATAATCTGTGAGTGTAAATGCATTGTCAAACTTTCTGTTGGCGTAGGAAATCAACGTACCATAGTTGAAATTGTCTGGAGTATACATCCACATACAGGCAGTTACCTAAAATAAAATTAAACCATGAGAGGCTGAAAAACAAAAAATGTGAAGAAAATTAAAACTAAATAAATAATAATTGTATACAAGGTGTTACTTGATGATAGGCCGTAATAAGTGCTGATAAGTCCTGAACTAAGTTCAGGTTTTTTTTTTTTTTTTTTTTTTATACTCCAACTACCACGAAGGCCTAAGGCCTAAGCACCCATTGGGTACCGTGGGGCTATGGGGGATACATGGGAAAGGGGGGACGCCACACGGACTCTGGCGAGGGAACACGTGTGCATGCAACATGCACACATTCTGGCTCCGCCTACGAGAACCGCCGGGTGGTACCTCCGCGTTCGACAGTCAGAGACCATCTACCACCTACGGACAATCACAACATCCATGGCCAAGAGAAACATTTCTCCTGGGACGGGAATCGAACCCGCACAGCGCACGGCGACTGATCAGGAGACCGAAGAGTCTACTACTGCGGCCACCGCTGCTGCCTAAAACAAACACACAACATCCATGGCGAAGGCGAGATTCGAACTCGCGGCCCGGCCGGCCGGCTGATCAGTAGCACGACACTCTGACCCACGCGGCCAACCGAGGTCCCCTTCTTAAAACATTGATATTGAAATTTTATACCTTCTTAAGGTAAAAGAGTTCTTATAAACAAGTGTCTGGTTTCCAATAAACGGGGTGTCAGAGTTGAAAAACGTCTTTTTATTAGTATCACAAAGATTTTTATGCTTTTTTTTTTATACCGAAGCAGTCGCGCAGGCAGAAGCCTAAATGCCGGCTCACCGCGGCTGCTATAATGATCCCAAAGATATTTTGTAAATCCGATTTTTGAACTGCCTAAGGTTAGTAGAACTAGGAAAAGATTCCCCTTGTAGATTGTTCCACAATCTCGAAACCCTCGGGACAAAGGAGCGGTCGTATCGGCCAGTTCTTGACGTACGAAGTTCGACACGGTTAAGATGGGAGGCCAAAGTCAGGCAGGTCTGTCTGGCAGGCACCTCGCGCGGCGGCATCATGGAAGAGAGCTCTGAGGAGAAAAGCCCGTTGGTATAGCGGTAGAAAAAAGCTAGGTCGCCGACGGTGCGCCGGTGCGAAAGGGTCCCGAGACTGTCTGTTATAGGAGAGTCATCGATCAGTCGGACAGCTCTCGTCTTTACAGCATCGAGCATAAGTAATGTAGTCGGGGCGGCAGCACCCCAAACGTGTGAGTAATACTCGACGCTAGGCCTTATCTGGGCCTTCTATAGAGTGAGAAGGTCATGTGGAGGAAAGTACTTCTGAGCCCTAAACAAATAGCCTAGCTTTTCTCCCAGCAGCTGCCGCTATTGACGAGATGTGTTCGTGCTAGATCAGGTCCTCGGCGATCTGGACTCCGACCAACCGAAATGAATAGCTCTTTGGGAGATGAGCGCTAGGATGCTTTTTGTTCGTCAAGGTACAGTACTGTGTTTTGGGAGCATTAAATTGTACAAGATTGTCGCGTCCCCAAGGAGTGGTACCTCCAGATCTCGCATCAGAGAGGAAGTCGTCGCTGGTCTTCTTTTTCCCAGCTCAGCGGCAGAGATCGGGTTGTCACTTTGAATTTCTGCATGTAGAGTGCTGTCATCAGCGAAGATCGTGCAGGAAAGGAGGTCGTCGATATGTAATAGGAACAGTGTCGGAGCCAATACCGATCCCTGGGAAACACCCGCGTTGACGTTGTGGGATGAAGAGGAGAGAGAACCCGTCAATTACGACGGGTATCTTGCGGCCAGATATAAAGTCAGTCACCCAGCTGCAAGGCTTTTCTGAGAGGCCATAGGATGGAAGTTTGCTTAAGAGGGCAGCGTGCCACAGCTGATCGAACGCTTTCGTGATGTCAAGAGCAACGCCATGAGCCTCACCATAAGACTGGATGAGTGCCGGAAACCATACTGCCTGCTGCTAATCAAGCTGAGACGTTCGAGGTAGTCCAGAAGCTCGCGATTTATGCACCTCTCCATCACTTTACTTATAACAGAAAGCAGAGCTATAGGCCTGTAGTTGTAAGGGTTGGTCTTAGATCCTTTTTTTTGGGATGAGTTGGGCATGAGCAAATTTCAAGTTTTCTGGGAAGGTGCCGGGTTCATAAGGTATCTGGAAGAGGCGTGATAGAACTGGAGCAAGCTCCGCTGCACACCTCTTCAGTACATTGGCTGGAATCAAGTCCGGACCAGAAGCTTTGTTGATGTCGAGTGACAAGAGCACCCAATTTTCGGTCTTATGCCTGAATGTTACCTGACGCATAGTGTAGGGAACCCTTTGAATTAGCGACACTTGGGCGTTGGGGGGAACATCCATGGTGGAGTCGGCAGCAAAGATCTTGGCAAGCACTTCCGCCTTGGCCTTTGAGTCGGATACAATCGTTCCATCCTAACAGGTAAGTGGTGGAAGGCTAGTGTGAGAAAAATTTATGATGATGCTGATGTTGTTTATTACATTAAGGCGCTAAGTTTGCAGTAACAATTATTTCCAGTGGCGTCACTGTGGACAGACTCACAATCTCACGAATAATATTGACAAAAAATGCAAGACACTGATTTTTTTTTAAAATATATGTATTTTTGGAATTGAGCAGATGAAGATACAACTTTTTTGTTTATTCGTATTACTTCGTATCTTACTTCGTTTTGGAGGAAAAAATAAAAACAACTTAGTCATATGTCGAAAAATTGTTTAAATAAAATCAGTTTAATTTGGTGGATGCCCAACATTTATTTATAGACCATCGTTTGAAATCTAAGGAATTTAAATAAATAATTTGACCACCTAGATATTTATAAAAAACATTTTTTCAAACTTTGACACCTTGGATCTTTGAAATCTTTGACATATATAACTTATCTTCTTAAATTTGGTTCATGAATATACACTTGAAATTACGACCTAAATATGAAAATCAAAGAAAATTGCGATAGCAAATTGCCTAGGAAGTTTTGATAATGAAGTACTAAAAAGATTTTCGAAGCAAACTTTTAAGACTTCCTTAAGACCCGAATTAGTAGCAAGAAATGACTGACACTCTAGGTCGTTGGTAAAAACTATGACAGGCATCTTGCATCTAGGTATTTATCTCTTGTTTAATTCTATTACTATTATGTTGTCTATGAATTGCCACAAAATGTCACAATGATGATATAGAATACCTCTGAAATATTTCCTCTGAACCCATCCAACTTCACGTAATTGTGAATCTCATATTGCTCAAAGCTCAAGACGTAATCTGTACTTTTTTTAATTTCGCAGTTCCGTCCAGTGTACAAACCATGACAGTCACATACGTAATCAAATATGTAATTGACGCATACGCCTCCATTAAGGCAAGGGGAACTTTTACAGCCATCAACTAGTTCACTACAATCGTCGCCAGTATATCCTTCTTGACAATCACATCTGAAAATAGCAAAACTTTTAAACGTGACCTTTAAGCCATCAAAATAACTCACGTATATCATAAATGACTCCATATAAATACATATTCTTAGCAATAGAGAGCAAACAAAAAATATGAAACTTGCCTATAATTATGCGTACTAGAGCCATTTCCTATCAAATTAATGCAACGTTTTTTATTACCGCATGGTCGAAAATCGCATGGTAATAAGTTACATCTTCTGCCGACAAATCCAGACACACACATACATTTGAATGTATCATGTTCTTCCACACATGTACTGTTGTTAGCACACAGTCCAGTCTTGCAGTGCTTTATTTTGTTTTCGCAGGCTTTTCCAGTGTAACCTGGAAATAAAGCATTTATTATGGGCCATTTAACACATACATTTTACTGAGTGTTAAAGTGTATTATGTATTTTCAATGCAGATTATCTGCATTGGTAGATCATTTTGCCTGTAACTCGTAAGGCAGTTGTACCGTTTAGAAAAGCATAAAAATGATGTCGTACAGGTTGACTTGATACTTCACATGCAAGGTAATTTGTTATTAGCGATTTTATTTTATTGGGCTCATAGATGAACAAAACTTTGTGTCTTTTAAATATCGTTCATTTTCTTATTTTAGATACTTATAATAATAATAATAAACTGTATAATACAGATGAAATGTATAAAAATATAAATAAAAATCAATATAAATATAACGATTCATATAAATGTTCACTTCCATCTTTACGTACTCACTTCTGTTATAAAATGCATTTGATGCTAATAATTTTTTAACACGATTTTTAAATCGAAAATAATTACTGATATGCTGTATTTCAACTGGTAATTTATTGTCTAATTTAATGCAATTAAGTAGGGTAATTTTTTGAAATGTGTTGTGGTATGTGTATGGATCATTTCTGAATTTTGGTTTCTAGTATCATAATTACGATGAGCATTAGTATTTGGGAAGATGCTATTAAACTTTTTAACGTAAGTCAATATAGTGTAATTTCTCGTGATTTAAAAATTTCTCTGCAGGAGTCAAGTTGCTTCATTCCGAAAATTAATCTGACGATTCTTTTTGGGTACCAAATACTCTATTAATTTCGGAAAGATTTTCCCCATATCATGTTATAAGACATATGGCTATAAGCCAGCCCATAATATACGAGTACATTGAGGACCTCTTTAAGTTGTAAAATGGAAAGGATTTTACATAGTGATCTATATGTTCATGAAAATTTAGTTTACAATCAAAATATGTACCAAGTAATTTACAAGAATCCGATAAAATAAGATCATACGTATTCAAGTCTAAGTCAACTATACGTTGGATGTTAAAATTGATAATAAGTTTTATTACAAATTAAAATTAACCGATTTCTTTGACACCGAGCAGAGAATTCATCGAATACACTTTGAATTTTGATGATTCACACTTTTTGCATGTCCCTCTGAGATATGACTGATCAAATTACTGACGTATAAGCTGAACAGCAGTGGTCCCAGTACAGATCCCTGAGGTACACCATGTTAAACAGGATATACATATATCGGATGGTGTACTTCCAACTTTAACTTTCAGATTTCTGTCCTCCATGTAAGAGATGCCTCTGATACCCACAGCATATAATTTATATAATTAGCTGTAATATTTCAGAAACTAACTTAAAATGGTATTATTAGGAAAATCCAATGAAAAGGTCTAACAAACTTCTACTGTGATATGAAGAGTCAGTTATCCATATTTATTGTAAATGGGGAAATCTGTAGTCGGTAGTACTTAGCACATATACGTAAATGGAAAATTAGAAGCACGACAATAATTTCTTTCAGTTTACTGTAACGCTAGCGACTTGCAGCTTTACTAGGTAAACTATGGTGTTTGCGGTTGATGTTTTTACAAAAATATCGATATTCACTAGTCAAACACTGGGCGAGAATTTGTTTTGAAAAAGTCAAGATCACACCTTTGTATTTTTCCACGTTTCACGTCCGCTTTTTTGACAGGTGAAATTTCCACAGCAGAATCTAAAACGACTTTTTCATACATATCACTGGACCAACGATTAATAGATAAATTGGCCGAATATTTATTGAGAAACCGGCTATTTCCTAATTCTTCAGATTCTCGTTCATATTTGACTGACAGTGAAACTACATAAATATATTTCATAATGCTATTATTTTGTCCCAAGGTAATACATATATCTGCAGGGTGCTCAATAAATAGACGGAGATGTTTTAGAAGGTCAATAAATTTGAAAAAAGTTCCTATAAACTTAGTCCGGAAACGCATAGTTTTCAAGATACAGGGTGATAAATTTAAAAATAATAATATTAACATCTTAAAAATTATTTACTCGAGTCTGTTGAAATTTGGCAATATTATTTGTTGTATTAAAAGGATAATTAACCCCTAAATAGATTAAAATTATTAGGTCGAGTGGCGTCCTGGGGGGCACCTTAGCTAATATTATTGGCAAAAAAATGTACGCCACTGTAACTTTAATGTTTGTCGTTTCATTAAGCATCTGAAAACACAACTTATTTGCCTCTTGTATTTTTTTCGTATCTCACTTCGTTTTATTGCATGTTACTGGACAAAATTGGTTTGTTAATTTTTGTTAAAAAATCACAAGTGCATTGGAAAACAAAAAATAAAAAAAATCTAAGAAAGAGTGTTATTGAAACTTTAATAATATTACCAAATTACAAACCCTTTTGTTTTATCAAGCAATCCCCATAATGATTGGTGTTATAACAAAAATTAGGAACTTTAACTATTGTATAATGCAGTGAGATCCTAACATGAGTTATTGAATTTTTGTTTATACAAATATTATGAATGCCTAATTACATTTCTGTTTGTTTCATAACAGTTTGCTCTCAGTGAGCTTTTTTGCTTATATGATGTAGGGGTCATTTTTTCGGCATCACAAATATATTAAACGGAAACTCTTAATTTGTTCCATCCAAACGACATTCTGATATAATATAGTCAATATTAACCAAATTTTCAACGATAAAAATGTATTATGAACGCTACCCATCTTCCTATAACAGTATTGTTCTTGGTTGGTCATTATTCTGTTATTATATTCGTTATCAGCGACATCGAAAACAACATTTTTTTTTTTTGAAATTTAGCGAGTCTTTCCAGTTTTGGTCTATTGTCATAGAAAGTAAAACCAATATATTTTATACTAAGGAATTGATAATTCCTGTTCCTATTACCCCTAAAGTATCCCTAATGGATTCTACACCAGATGCATATATGAACAGCGATCTATCATTATCATCTATATATTTAAACTCAAAGACTAGATCACTACCCGCAAATATAGTGACGAACGATGGGTTATGTTAGACTCTTTCAGTTTCTTGGTTATGACTCTATTTGATACCTTACCTGGTGCACATATGCATATTGGACTACCACTATCATCCTTCACACATTTTCCGTTATTTGAGCAAATTCTGCTGCAGTTATCTTCTTCCTCGCAGTATTTTCCTCTGAATTTGTATCTGCACATGCATTTGAATCCTTTGTCTTCATTAGAACATGTTCCGCCATTATAACATGGATTAGACGCGCAGTAGTTTACTCTTGTCTCACAATTCGTACCAATATAGTTTTGGAAACAGTTGCAGGAATATTGATACTCGTTTGTTTCTATACAAACCCCGTAGCCACATATACCTGGAACGTATAATTGATGAAAATAATACTGTGCTACTAGTAACTATTGTCTTTAGAGTTGAGAAGATATGATATTGATTCCAGAAGCTCAGTTTATACATAGTTTAGTATCAACAACGTCAGTTAATCTCTAGTCAAGCGTATATCAATTTTTTACTATGCCCCTCTGTAAACTGCGTTCTTGGAACTATTAGATAAACCAGTTTTCATCAATATTTAGATCTGTATTATAAAATCAGCATCCTATTAAGTGTGTCGGTCTGGTAAAATGGCAGACAAAATGTAAACAGACTCAATAACCGTTAAGCATTTAGATGTCTTTTCCTCTTGATAACTGATAGTCCCATCTAAAAACAAATTCTACTATAACAGAAAACTAATATGCTAAGACCTACACAAAACTTTTAATGATTTCAAACTGGACAGAAGCAGTATCTAATGATGATATCAAATACTAACCGTTCACTTTGCACATTTCCTTGGCTGTGGCCACGCAGTGGCTACGATACCTGGTACCGACCGCTAAAGTGGTGTATCCAGGTGGACATGCTGTGCATCTAAGCTGTCCATATTCCGATTGATAGAAGCCAATGGCACATGAACGACAATTGGGTTGCAGTGTGAGCCGCTCTATCGCTTCATTTGGCCCAGACTTTGATGGTCGGAAACGCTTCTTCCGAGCATGACTACCTGGAGGACACTCCTCTGCAAAATTTGATTTATACCGATTATTTTAGGTGATATTTATCGCCTATTTATCATAGTTTCCATGACTTTACCAAAGGTTTGGTGCAGCTTTGTTACTTGAAATCCAACTTGAACATAGGTAACCAGGTACATATTTTATAAAACTATTCAATTATTCTAGGGAAATAAATTTATGTATAAAAGGTACATTCAAACATTTCAATAAATACAGTTAAACTGCTTATTTGAATCGTGGACTCGGCAGAGATTTTGTGATCATTCGAACTCCTCAGTTTCATTTGTGATTTTCGCAAGGGGCCTCATATCCGGATGTTGCCGTTGTTGGTGTAGTAACTACGAAGTGAATCAATTATGGTGACTAAGCGAAATACCCGAGCATTAGGCGCTTGGTGACCCATAACCATGGTTAGAATATTTCTCGCTTCCAATGAAACACTCTATGTAGGGAAGTCACTGCTAACGTGACGGAATGAGAAGAACTTTGAAATTTAATTTATGCAGCCATCGAATGGCATTTATACCAAACATGTATTTAGCATAACTAGCAAATCTGTATCTCAAAAGGGAGTATTTGAATTTAATAAATTGAATAACGATATTAAACGGTGTTCGAATTTAGAAATTTTTTAAATTGCAATTAAAAAATCACTTTATGAATACTCAAAATACATAGTAATGTAATTTTAATAGACAAGAATGTATATTTACAGAAAGTGGATTGAAGAAAAATGTGTAAGCGAATAATTATACAAAATTGACTTTGTAACATTAATGGTAAATAAATCTTCAACAAACAAACAAACATAGGATTGATGCGCTTTCCTTTTATATTGTGGAGTGGAGCCACATGGTGTGGTGTGGTGTAGTATCTGAATATATCCTTGTTTGTTTCAAGGGATGTCGAATTCAGTTATATATGTAAATTCGTTGAACGCGGATGACTATAATTTTGTTTTGTTATTAGAAATAAAAGAACAATTTTTATACACATGATCAAGACGCCTTATACAGTTTCAGGTATCCCTTTCCCTACATTCTGAGCTTAAAACAAAGAATTACTTCTAGTGAATGGTGACAAATAATTACTAAAACTTGATCCCATATATAATTAGTTCACAATCAATGAAAATAAATAATATCTTATTTTGTTGGGGCTATAACAAGATTTGTCAGTGCACAGTTACAATATACATTTTCAGTAGAATTCAATTTGTTCCTTTAATTCCCAAATATTATCCAAATATGCTTTGAAATCTAAATATAATAATCAATTAAAACTAAGTAAATACTCTTACCTGAGCTAATTAAAAAAAATTAATCAATATAATTAGATTATTTTACTTGCAGCAAGTAAACTCATTTTGATAATATATTAATTTCAAATACATTGGTGTAGTTAATCTAAATAAGCGGCTTAAGAAATTTAATTGCGTTTTGGTTTAATTAAACTAGTGTCATAAATTCAAGTAAAATGTTTTAGAAATCAGAGTTTAATTGAATCAATAAAACTTATTAGCTGTCACATACTTAATTAATTTGCTTAGTTAAATTTTTAATTAGTACAACTAAATTTTTTCTCAGCTTGTAGATCAAGATATACTTGAAACTTTCTTATCATACAAATTTTCTACAAGTTTTGGATGTTTCTTTCGATCGATGATCATCCTTTGCTGATTTGTGAAAAACTGTTTTACGCAATAAATATTGTGCAATCTTATACAGGGTGTTTCAGTTTATTGTTGCATAACTTTAAGATTCGATAGAACTTTTAAAATTAATGCATAAAGTCTATATAAACATGGGTCGAAAAATGCGTGGCTTCCGAAATACAGGGTGTTTAAATTTACTTTTTAAAATAGTTTTTTTTAAATATTTCGAACAATATTTGATGTATAACAGTGAAAATTGGTATACAAGGTTTTTTTGGTACGACAAAACGAACCATAGTTTTACTGTAGCCGCTAGAGGGCGCTCTCTACTGTACCTGTAGTGTATTAAAATGACCGAAAAATTTTTCTTAATGCCATTTTTTGCTTTTTGAATAAAAAAACTGATTCTTCGCACTTTTCTGCATAAAAAAGCTCTCCTGTAAGTTTTCGTTATAGTTAGCCGTTTTTGAGATATTTCGATTTTTAAGGTTCGATGCATTTTTAATTATTTATTTATGGGAAAATAATATTTTTTTTTACATTTTCGATTTGGGCATTACAAGTAATTAAGATGATCGTTTAGATTGTGTTTTCAAACACAGCAATAATTCCTAACTCCAAATAAACACAAAAAAACAGAATATTAATTTTTTAATTTTCCAGTATTATTTTTAACAAATTAAATTAATTATTTACAACTAAAATGCTATTGGATAGTTAGGACAAACATACAAAATCTAAAGTAGTTGCTCGAAATGTAAACCCAATTGTTCAATACACAATTCACATCTACGAATGATCGAACGTGGTATAGCATTATTCAAATAAGGCCTTATTTCATCACATGCATTCCTGATTCTGTCTATTAGCATATCTCTTGTGGTTACGGGAGTCTGGTACACTTTTTCTTTTAGAAATCCCTACACAAAGAAATATAATGGATTTAGGTCAGGGGATCGTGGAGGCCAGGCGACTGGTCCTCCACGGCCGATCCCTCTTTTTGGATAATTTTCGTCCAGCCAGTTTCTAACTATTCTCGAATAATGAGCTGGACAACCATCAAGTTGGAACCAGGCCAATCTTCTTAAATCTAATATAACATCATCCCACATATTTGCATGTTCAGCCTTTAAAAATTCCCCGAAGGTCGCAGTATTTAACCTTGCAGGCAAAAGGTATGGTCCAAATAGTCGATTACGGTAGAACCAATCCCCACCTTCACACTAAATTCATGCTGAAAATTTCTTTCCCGAACTGCATGCGGATTTTCATGCGACCAAATATGTTGATTATGAAAATTTACCATTTTTATCAGTTCTATCAAGAATCCACTGACAAAATGTGATTCTTCGTTCTCCGTCCCCTGGCTGTAGTCCTTGCACAGATTGCAAATGATAAGGACGTCTATGGTCATTTCTAAGAACACGGTGAACATGGCTTGCTGAAATTTCCAAGGCACCAGAAACTCTCCTAACACTTGTGGTCGGATCTCTATCAAACTCTCGCAGAATCATACGGGTAAATCTGCGCTGACGAACATTTATGTTTTGATCCCTTTGGAGATTTCCAAACCATTTTCAATTATTTCCCGATGCACTCTTACTGAGCGAGTTGGATGTCGTCTATTTAGAAATCTTCGTGCGTATTCTCTGGCTGCTTCTGCTGCGTTTCCATTTACAAAGCCATACACAAAATGAATATCCGCTAACTCTTGATTGGAGAATAAAAATGGCATTTTTATAAAACTTACAAAAAAAACAGGTAAAAGAAACTAAATTTCGTGCATTCACAATTGCAAATAAACGTTTCAGGTTTCAACAGACAACAAAACTAACTGTCAACTAATTGACGTTTAACCTTATTCTGCTTTCAATTTCAAAAATATTTGCAGGCACAGTAGAGAGCGCCCTCTAGCGGCTACAGTAAAACTATGCCCATGGTTCGTTTTTTCGTATCAAAAAACCCTTGTATACCAATTTTCACTGTTATACATCAAATATTGTTCGAAATATTTAAAAAAACCTATTTTAGAAAGTAAATTTAAACACCCTGTATTTCGGAAGCCACGCATTTTTCGACCCTTGTTTATATAGACTTTATGCATTAATTTTAAAAGTTCTATCGAATCTTAAAGTTATGCAACAATAAACTGAAACACCCTGTATATGCATTCATGTCCAAGTAATCGCTTTTTGCTAGTTGGGGTGACATTCCTTGTAATTATTCATTATTTTATGAGATCTCTAGCGAGTAAAATTTAACTCGACTACACTTTTTAACAAAATAATTTGTGTCATTCATACGTACCAGTACGATAATTGGTACTGGCTTGGTAAATCGTACCGGTATAATTTAACAAACTTCTGTATTATTTTTCAGTCATGCCTCGCAAGGGTTCAAAATACATATATCAAATATATATGTATATACTAAGTGACGTATAAATCCGAACACCCAGTTTAAATGGTTTTATTTTAATAAAATTTGGTACAAGTACTTAATATGAAGCATAATAAGTAAATGATAAAAATTTCAAAATGATTGCACTGCTTTACAGCCCTTTGACCTTTAATAATGTGTGGATGCACCCTGATGTGCTACGCATTCTCCAACGCGCCTAGGCATGCTTCTGATCAGGTGGTCAATGTCCTCCTGTGGTATCTCATTCCAGGCAACCACCAACTCCTCTCGTAGTGCTTCTAGAGTCTGAGGAGGACGTTGCAAATTGAGCAATCTCCTACCCATCATATCCCACACGTGCTCAATTGGGGATAAGTCGGGAGATCTTGGTGGCCATGGTAACAATGTGACATCATTATGTTGAAAGAAGTCTATTGTGACTCTTGCAACATGTGGTCGGGCATTATCTTGTTGGAAAGTTGGATCTGCCAGGGTGTCAAGATAGGGTAAAAGATGGGGTTCTAGAACTTCGTGGATATAACGCTGCGCGTTCATGTTACCCCTGATGAAGATTAAAGGTGACCTGGAACCATAAGCTATAGCACCCCAAACCATAACTCCAACAGTGTGATGAACATGTCTTTCAACAAAAAACTGTGGATTCCTCCTTTCATCACGTCGCCTTCTAACCCTGGCACGACCATCGTGCATGCCTAAACAAAATCGAGACTTGTCACTGAAGACAATACTGTTCCATTCCTGATCCCACAGTCACCGTTGTCTGCACCACTCAAGGCGATTACGTCGGTGTTCTCGAGTTAAAGGGAGGACCCAGTCTGGCCAGTATGAAAACAAGCCAAAACTTCTCATTCGTCGGTAAACACTTCGCATGCCAATATGTCTTCCGTGTTCTGCAAACCATTCATTTGCAATGGACCTGGTAGTGGAGAAACGGTCCCTTAAGGCCAATAATGTTAGGCGGCGATCTTCACGGTCTGTTGTTCTACGGCGGCGTCAGTGCCCCTTCCTCTTTGCGTACGGCCTTCTCGAAGCCATGCCTGACAACACCTAACCACAGTGTCTACACTTCTTTGCACTCTAACTGCAATTGCCCGAAAAGAAAGTCCAGCTTCCCGAAGTCCCACTATACGGCCCCTATCAAACTCACTAAGTTGACGAAATCGTACAGGTCTCCGTACTCTAGGTATCGTAACCGATCGTAAAGGATGTCAAGAACCAAAATCCGCCAACGTTGATTCTTTACTGCGGCTGAAATATTCATTTTTAGAGCATTAATGAATTAAAAAAAAGCAGTATAAAAACCGGAATGTCCAACTGATAAGGCTGAACATTTTTTCACTTGTTATTTACAGTAAGATAAATACATTCACCAACTTTTATTAAAATAAAACCATTTAAACTGGGTGTTCGGATTTATATGTCACTTAGTATATATAAACGGCGTGATACAACTTAACAAACTGCATGGGTATTATGTAGAAAACCTTAAAAAGCCAGAAAAAACTACAAAATAATACTTTTCAAAATACGTTATACCCGTGCAGGTTCGATAAACGTACCGTTTGCATCATTTGTTTTAAAGCTTACCATTCTAATGTCTGAGTATCCACATCAATCTTGACTAATTTACTCTGAAGTTTCGCTCAATTCATACAAGTCATTAAGGAATTATTTCATAAAATATGTTAGATGGCACAAATTACCCGACTTCACTATCACTAAACGTCCTATAATGTGAGCGTGAAAGTTGCTGGATGGCGCAGTGACAGCTTTGCAAGTCGTATAATTATATAAACCTTATCAATTTGTTAAATGACATCTAGAACAGATTTAAATTATATTACCTTTACAGTCTGCAAACTTCTTCGCATGCATTTTCATCGTCGAATGATGCAGTGGACAAACAACACATGACTCTTGTCCAAGCTTGTCATTAAACTGACCAAAATCGCAGCTTTGACATTTGTTTCTAGTTACGTTTAAGAATGTTCCTTTGGGGCATTGTACTGAAAATGTTAAAAAGTGGATAGGTATCGTGATTTATATCTTTTGAAAATGTTCCAGAACACACAATATCATCGAGTCAATTTCGAGACAATAATTGCAACAGAGGATTACTCGTTCTTAATTATTGTCCTCCAAATTATGTTTTAGGTTTTTGCATTATACGTTATAAGGTACCTACCACAACGACTTTTTCTTGGAGCAAATCCCTTTGGGCATATAAACTTCTTCTCGAAATGTCTAATAGTGGCATTGTATCCTTCCGGTAACGTTAACGATAAATTCCTTTTATCGTTGAAATATCTTCCTCGTACTTGAAACTTCACATTCAATTTTCCTTTTTGTTTTTTGTTCCTGTGTGGGACCGGCTGATAGCTGGTACTACGCTTAGACACTTTGCTTATAATAGCTTCTTCATCGCAGTTTGGATACAATGAATCAATTTCACAGCCCCCTGCACAATAACCGTTAAGTGACAGTGCTACTTTCTTAATCATCTAAAAAGTAATGCATTTATGAACTTAGTATTTAAACACTTTTTATTATTAAGACTTTTTCAATAATCTTAAAATTTGATTATATATAAAAATAATGTATTTGTTTTTTATTGTTGTATTCCTTTGGCTCAAACATAGAGTATGCTTTAAATAGTTTCTCAACTGTTTTTACGATAACTTAATTATCCAATTCAAATAAAATCCCAAATACGGTACTGAACAAACTAAAAAAATGACGTCGAGCAGGTTGACTCTGCACTTCCCACGCAGCGCTCTTATCAGTTCAGAATATGTTCAGCACAAACTAGACCATCTGAGGACAAAGTCAGTCAAACAAGTCCATACAATTAGTCCATACACAATCATTTCCTGTCCTACCGGCAGGGTTATTACCTAAAATACCTACATAATGTAAAAAAAACCGATAATATGTCAACTTGTTGATTAGGTAGGCTAGTGTTCATTCCGTGCTTGCTACAAATGAGCATGAAGGGAACGACCGCTAGTTCCAAGTTGACGTCTTTTAGGAAAACCTACGTAATTAAAAAAAGACATATTGTCAAAAAGACCGACATGTCACTTTTCAAGTCACGTAATACCCCTGCGTTAGTGCCTCTGGAAACGTCGCCTCTCCCTGAGACCTAACTCGGGCCGTCGTGTCAGCGTCGTAGCGTAGAAATACGTGTGATTCCATACCAGAACCCTCATCCCGGTCGGCACACGACGCCAGCAGCAGCCGTAGCCGCTATGTACGCGATCCGTTTTCCAAGAATGTTTATCTAAGAGGTGCGTAAATTACCAATATTGGGAGCGTATGAATGTATCAGCTCCAAAAAATTGAAATAAGCCCTCCACACTCCCTTACAACCCCCACCTCCAACTTTTTTTACCCCTAAAATTTTTATCAAAAATGATCAGAATTCTCTGTAACGCCAAAAAAAGAAGTTTGAGGGATTTTTACTTTTTTCGTCTTATGCCTTTTTCTCTACCGCCACCGAGTTTCAATAACTACAAATATTTTGCATCCTTAGCATAGTAGTAACATTGTATGAAAATTTCATCCGAGTGGTACTTCTCAAGTTATAGGCGACTGTAAAATTAGCGGACAAACCGACCGCCAGAAATGAGTGACATGGGTTTTTGTGATGTACATGTCATGTAACATCCAAAAAACATATTTCATACTACTACTACTACTAATACTACTCGTCGTTGCTTCTCAAGGCGGTCCGGAGGACCTTAGCCTTTAGGTCATAGTCACTGTAATGTCAGTGTCTGTCGTCAGTCTGTCAGGATGGTGGCCCAGAAACTAGACAAGTTGTTGGGGAAAGGGGAGAGGGAGAATGAAAGGAAGTAGGAGCGAGAAGAGAAAGAAAATGAATTGTTTTATGTAAATATTTGAGGTGTGAGGTGCAGAACTTGTAGTTTACGCATATGTGACTTAACTAAAAAGCACCAAGCCGCACACGTGTAGGTTATTGAAGGTCTGATGATGGTTTTGTATATCCGAATCTTATTGACCAAACTCAATGTTGATGTTCTACATAAAAGAGGATACAATTGACGAAATGTAGTTTGGAATTTAATTTTCAGTTGTTCAATGTGTGCCAGGTCATACCCTTGTCGAGTGTAAGACCCTGGGTATTTGGCTTTGTTAGCCCATGGTATCGAAACATCATCCACAGTGATCTCTGGCGTGGCACCACGGCGCTTTTTTGTAAGATAGATAGCCTGTGTCTGAAAAATTAATTTTGATTAGCTGTCTATTATACTTTGCCAACTATAGGCTGCGGAAAGATCGCTTGCAACGCCTGTGTTGCGCTTATCAGAGGAGCAATAATTTGTTGGAGTGACTTGAGCGCGGTCGCCAGGTCTACTTGTTGAGAGTTCAAAGCAGGAGCTGCGGCTGAAGTGGCTGTCATTTCAGCATAAGATTTATTGCGCCTTTCGGATATAACCTGTAGGTTCCTCTTAGGAGTAACCTGCACGTTGGACTGTTGGAACATATTTCTTTTTCGAAAACTTTCGCGATTACAATACTTCCCCTTCAGTAGGCGTGGGAAGTAAAATGAGGAAACATGAAATTAGACTTTTCTAAAGTGTGCAAATCTGCGACATCTCACTAATAGCGCGACAGTCATTTGACCTTTACACTTACGTATACGACTACCTCACAAACTGCAAGACAAAAAATGTTGCTTACCTCATTCAATTCTGCTTTATCATTACAATTGTCAACGTCCAACGTTATTTCTCCCTTCCCAAGTTCATCGTCAGGAATTAACGATACTATAAGCAACAAATTTATATGGATATAAGCTTAACATCGTATGCAAAGTTATAGAATTTAAAAACAAGAAATATCTATAACGGGCATACCTGTGCACTCTGGATACAGAGGATCGTCATCAGGGTACATCGAGAGATCACTATTTTCACATATAAACTTGTTATCTGCGCCTGAAAATAAGTGTTCTGAATAATGTATGTGTACTAAATGAAATTAGATAATGTCCAGTTTCGGCTAGACTGCTAGACGGTTGGTTGTAGTCACTCAATAATGGACCAAGCAAGCCAAACATGAAATAATATACAAAGGGTTCGATTTAAGTGTCTTGGAACTTATCATGTGATTGTCTTGCTGATCCTATCCTACATGTTTCTCTGGTCGCCAAATAAAACCACAGGTGTAGCATTAAAGATTAACTAACGTACGGCCACTGCGGAAGCCCTTTTCAAATTACAATTCAAAACTTGACAATGACAATATACTTAATATTTATCCGTCTTCCAGGTCACAGTTCATTTATTTTTGCAGCTACTATACAGAGTCTTGCAATGGCAGCCGGCACGGGTATCATGTAAAAAATCTATAAAATGCCAAAAAACCTATAAGATGTCAACTTGCAGACTAGGTAGTTTTTAGGGCGCAAACAGTCATTCCACGTTTGTTCACTAGGATCGTTGTGAACGTCCATCTATGGAGGAATCACTCAACTAAACTACGCATTATTGGTTGCATAGTTTTGTAAGGCTGAGTGATCCGTGTCTGTAGTTTTTATCTCTGAGAAGAAAGTTGGCTGAATAGCAAGATGGCATTTGGATGATTATGTGTATTGGTCTGCATGTGTATAAAATCAGTGATATTTGCTGTGTGAGAAAATCATTACTGAATATGCCGAATATGACGGGTTAATTATGTTGCGCTTTCTGAAGAGAGGTTATGTTCAAAGGTATAAATTACGAAAAACTGAGGAGAATTACGGGAAATCATCACCGCGCCCGCGTTGTGTGTAATTACTGTTAGAATGTATATGGCTTGTAATTCGACAGTGTACATTGATTATAACCATTTCGTATCTCTCTCATTTTTTAAATTCAGCAAATTTGTATATGTAATTTGCAGAATGGATAAGAAAAAGTGGATGCGCAATTAATTTCTAGATTTGAATCTCAATTAAGTGTATTTGAGACAAGAACCCAATGTAATTATCATCAACACATACAACTTACAGCTTAGACCTCCAGTAATGCCACCTCAGAAGCAGATTTTACAACACATCAGAGCCAAAGATTGATAACAAGCCTCATGACGTTTAGGCAACACGTACAACTAAGTGCTAAGTTAATATCTTGTAGACTAACCTACATAATGTAAAAAAACAGCATAATGTCAAAAAAAACGGCATAATGTCACTTTTCAAGTTACGTGTTACCCCTGCCGAACGGTTCTGTCGCTTTGCTTGGCGACCAGTGAATCATGAAGTTACACCCTGCATAAATATGGCAATTCCACCCATACCACTATCCATTGGTGGTATTCAAAAGCATGTGTAAATTTGTTTTCGAGGGGAATAACAAACCTCACATGCGCAGGTAATACATTTAATGTTCAAACCTCTTCGTGACTTACCATCGCTTACTTCTTCTGGTTGCCCTATCGGTATACCATAGCCTTCATCACAAGTAACAATACATCGCATGCGTTGACCATCAGCTGTGCAATCATTTACTCCATTTGCTGGATCAGCTAGAGTCTCGCATGAAGATTCTGGAGAATTTACAGTTGAAAATGAGTAACCATAAACATCTATCATTGTGTGCATTACCTTCAACTGTGATGTTAAGTTTGCAGATGTTTCGGTTATGTGAGGGATCTTTAGCAACATATACTACAGTTGTTGTACCTTTATTGAAATATCCAAAGTTCCGCGATTTCTTCACCTGTAAACGATAATATTACTTTGTTGTACTCAGGTTCAAATTAAACGCAACAAGCATAATTCGTAACGTCATAACTTTTTACGTTTTACCTGATTTTATTGTTTACTCGGGCAGGCGGTAGCTACACTCATTGGCTTTATTATGAAGATATGAGTTCTTGCTTAGTCACGGTTTGACTTGTTGTACAGGGTAAATCAAAATGATGTTTCATTACCCCAACTCTGTGGTGTGACTCCAGCCGCCAATCAGTCCGCAACGTCTTCCATCATTAAGACACCACATTTTCTCTATGATATTCTTTTTATTCACGTCAATATGTACAGTGGTTGAAGTTTAACATTCAAATAAAGATATTACCACCGTTTTTGCTTCTTCCTTTAACGACTTTCCAGTACAAAGTCTAAAAGTTTTTCATCAATTTGTACAGAAATACATTGCCTTTCTGTACTAAGTTCACATTTTCTATATCGTCATTGCTTCCTTTATCTACAGACGCGAAGAAAATGAAAACTCTTGAGTGCATTTAAGAACATGCTGTATAATAATTTCGTATATCCCCTTTTGAAATACAGTGTCAGAGCAATAAGAGGCGTCGGCTAGAATATAACAGCACGATTACGTCTTCTCAATCCAGGCAGCAGATGGGAAAAGACTTGAGACATCCTTATTTGATTTTTTATCTTGAAATATATTTCCTACTCATCATTTTAATTTACACTGTTCAACAAAAGTCAAACCTTGGCTACAATCAAGAACTCATATCTACATATTAATGCCAATGACTGTACCTACCATCAATAAAATCGAGGTAAAAGTAAAAAAGTTATATCGTTCCAAATTTGACCAAAATTTTGCTTGTTGCGTTTATGTTGAACCTGCTCATAGCCTAACAGTTTCTATAGCAATAATTTCACTGGAAAACAACGTCCTCTGTGTATATATTTCGTGTAAATATTATCTCAACACCTTGGACTTTGCCAGAAGACATTTTGAGACTTATAACTGTAGGACTTCTTTTGTTCTGTCCCATAAATGCAGCAGCTTCTAGATCATACCATATTGAAACTATTCATTACCTGAACTTTTTGCGAGTTGTCAAAGATGTGAGGTTCATCCCAAGTAATGTTCACACCTTCGCTTTGCGATACCAAGAATGGTGGAGGATCAATGCACCCTTCTATACTGGGAGGTTCCTCGTCTAAAACAAATTGCTGCGATTATATGGCGATAAAAATAACATTTGTCACAAACAATGAATTGAAATTCTTAGTACCGCCGCTGCTCCATTTGAATTAGTAAATAATTATGGAGAAACTTCTATCAACAGCTTTTGAATTATTTGCACTTATAGGATAGACGGTCACAGAATCTAGCTTTCATTACGATGCTTTTGAAAGACGAAAAGCAAATACAGAGGGATCTAATATATCTGAAATGATTCGTTCAATATTGATTTACTCTTCCACATTACTTTTTTATTCACCTTCTTTAAACTACTACTACCTACCTTTTATTATTACTTTGAAAGAGCAGTGAGCCCTGTTTTGAAATGCATCTTGTGCGTAATAAGATACTAACGTGGATCCAATCTCGAACTTAAAACTTGCAATGTTTGGAATCGCTGGTTTCAACCATAAAGAAACATTCAGACCAGAGTTATCTAAAATATCACATTTAAATATAGTAAGTGAATGTAAAGTAATATGACTTGCCTGGCACCAGCGGTTCTTTCCAGAATACATGTCCAAATCTTTTTCCAGGCAAAGTTGTTCCTATTATGTTATCAGGACAAACAATTTTTGGAGGTTCAATATCTGTAAAAGAATAATTTCGACTAAGTGCCAGGCGATAATTTGATAGATTTCTGGCTACAAATCCTTTGTTGTTTTCCGTGGAAATCAGTAATAGTGCAGAAGCCTTGTGTGGGATTTTGAAGATCAGGCGTTGTGTAAGATTCATTATCGTACTTAACCTTAACTTAGCTAAATATTCTACTTGCGATGACAAAAATTGCGAAATCAACATCCTGGTTGTAGTGTTGTTTAAATATTAGGCTATAATGGAAAACATTTTCATAGGAGTTTTAAAACAAAAATCTTACCAATGCAAACCGATTCAGAAAAATTGCTATCCCATTGTCCATATCCGCCAATACACCGTTTTTCTGACGGCCCTCTTATCTTGAAGCCTTTTTCGCACGATATTTTGCACACCTTTCCCACTTCCTGTTTACCATTCAAACAGGACATGGGTTCAATAACAGCATATTTAATTTGAGGTAGTTTGTCGCATTTTATATCTGAAAAACATTTTAAATAATCATGCCAGAAAACTATACTCGTTAAACATTTGAGAAAATGCTCGAGTGCACTGGATTTTCCACAAAACTGGGTAATGTAGAATCATTCGTTTTTTAAATATTTTATTTATCAATGCAATGCAATTATTTCTTTGCGGCTAAGACTCCAAGATTTTCAGAAAAATTTGAAATGCAGATTTCTTTTGAATGCTTTGTTCTAGTAAAATGTTAAATTCATGTTCAGAACATACAGGGTGTTTTAAATTCGACCCTCATCACTGAGATCTCGGAAAATGTAAGAGATACGACGTTGCTTAAATGGGGGCAAGGTTGCGTATTTAGATAACCAACAAAATACCGCTTAGAAAGCTTCGAGATCCAAAATACTTCGTTTTAAATTTTCCCTGACTTCATTTGTAGTGGGAATTTAAAATAAATTGCAAATTAACATTGCCTCTTTTTCTCGTCTACAAGATGGCATAAATAGAATTTCAACGCCATGGGATACGATCTATGCAGATTAGTGGCGAAAAAGTGTCTGCTGACGAGTCTGAAATCCAGAGATTCATCGGAAACTTGGGCGCAAAAATTAATGAACTTAGCCTAGTTCCTGAACAAGTTTATAACGCTGATGAAAGCGGCTTGAATTGGCGGCAGCTACCAACAAAGACGTTTGTTACTGAAGAGGAAAAACAGTTTCTGGGTGAAAATTACGAAAAGAACGAATCACGCTGATGGTATGTGCGAATGCGTCTGGAACTCATATATTAAAACTGCTCGTTGTTGGTAAATCAAAAAACCCACGTGCGTTAAAAAATGTGAAGGTCGAATCTCTACCAGTAACCTATAGGTATGTTTCAAACCCGGGCATGGGTCACGAAAGAAGTTTTTCGTGAATGGTACATTAACAGCTTTGTCCCACAAGTTAAGCAAGAATTACAGAAGTAGATGTTACCAGTACAAGCACTTCTGTTACTTGACTGATAAGGATGAATTGAAATTTAAAACTGCTGACGGTTTCATTGAGGTTATGTACTTAACATAAAACATGACGGCTTTGATCCAGCCAATGGATCAAAACGTCATTAAGGCTCAAGGCACATTACAAAAAGCGGCTTTTAATGGATGTTGTCAGTCAACCTTAAGGATGCTATTTTGGATGCCACATTTGCTTGGCAGCAAGTAAAAAGCATGACCCTGATAAAATCTTGGAAGAATATTTGGCCCAACAACCCACATCTTGCAACATGCAACACCGTATCCAACAGCGATTCTGTACCTATTTTAGAGGCTGCACTTGAAATTTGTAACGAAGTGAAACTTGCGCCAGAATCAATCGAAGAATTCAGAACATGGATTATTGAGGACAACCTTGCTGATGATGTGACAGACGCAGAAATAATCCAGGAAGTCACGACAATACATTACGACGTGGTCGAGGAGGCAGTGCCGGAGAAAAACTTCACTATCAGCTGTGATGAAGCGGTATCAGCAGCCTTTACTTTGTTTCGTTGATGCGAGGAGAGAGAATTAAATTTTTCAAACATTTTGATGTTAAAAGGGATTCAAGAACAAGCAATGAAGGACTGTCTGCGTAAGAAGAAGCAGAAGACAATCAAAGACTTTTTCCAAGTGTAAAAAACCGTATTTTGTTTGAAATATTTTACTATCATTGTATGTATTACCTAGTTTTGTACATATGTAATAAATTACATATATGCACTATTTAATACTTTTAATTTCATCGTGTTTTTATATTGTCCTAAGTACTTAATATATAGTTATTAATACTACTGCATTCGAAAATAATAATCATAATCCTTGATCAAATTCATTAAGAAAAAACCATTCTTGATCATCCGACATTTTCGGTAATCCAACACCCACCCGATCCCATACCTGTCGGATTATCAAGGGACAACTGTATTGGGAAATGCCTCTTAGAAAGTTTCGAGATCCAAAGTACTTCCAGGGAGAGACGGAAAGACCGCATTTTCCCAAAATCGCTTAAATTTTTTCCTGACTTCATTTGTAGTGGAATTTTAAAATAAATTACACATTAACATTGCCACTTTCTCTCGTCTACAAGATGGCATAAATAGAATTTCAATATGACACTGCGTCTCTTGTCCTCGGGCATCAACTTTATTTTTTGTTATGGACGCCATATTGTGCAAAAATCTCATGTTATGTCGGCTGTTTCGGTGTGAGACATAATTAAGTCTTTCAAGTTTTATTTGTAACATATTTTTCTGGACACGAATTCAATTCCGAACAACACCAAATATATTGGCACAACGAACATCAATAAAATAAACTGGAACATACTCGTAGACTGCTGGAAAGAATATATTATTATAATGATGCATACTTTCCAAGCTGCTACTCGCTCTTGCACACACACATGAATTGGATGATAGAGGATCGTTGTTTTCACTCCATTTTTAAAGATACCCTCAAACTGTCTACATTGTTGTTGTTTCCAGGCTACGTTTTATATCCAAGATAAACATGAGTAAACTCAAATCATATCGTCGGCCTCCGCACGTACCGGCGTAACTAACATTTTACAAATTTTACAGGAGAGCTAGAAAACGAAAATCAGCAATAAATGAGATTGAAAATGACATACTGATTTTTTAGTCTGAACGATGCGGTTTTTTTTGTTAGACTAAAATGATGTAGAACCAGTTTTAACGCAGAGGCGTAAATCTATTTAAGCCGGTACGTGACAATTGTTTTCGGAATTTTATAACTTAGAAAATTTTCTGAAAATTTTAATTCTTAGCAGCGAACTGATATACAGCTACGTCACTTCGTGAAGTAAGAGACTACAAAAAATCTGTGAAATTACGGCGTAACTCGATTTTAGATTATTTGTCATTTACGCCTGTACGTGCGTAGACCGACGATATGATTATGGTAAGCAACCTGCCTTACTAACAGCGTCAAGCATAAATGTGGAAGACTCATACGTTGAGGAGAAAATTTATGGCAGAGAGACAAAACTAAAAAATGTATGTGCACAAATAAACGTCTAGGTGATTATACATGTAAGAGGGAGAAGGAAGTGTGAAGGTAATTCCTGTAGTTTTACTGTGACCCGCCAAAAGTCGTGAAAGTACCTATAATTCTGAACGTAATTCATGCCTGTGCTGGAAGAAAGCTAGAAACTAACTGTATAAATTCCAATATTTTCCGGTCACAGCACAAAGTGGGCAGGATTTTTTAAAAACAAAAAATATGTTTACTTACGTTTACATGAGCTTTTTATTCCGTCCCATTTTCCAGGTGGAATGCAAGTTCGTTTTTCCGATCCAATGAGAATTCTCCCATTTTTACAGCCAACACTACAAGTGATGTCTATGGGTACATCTGTATCTTCTTTATCGACAATCTGAACTAACCCTGTATTCGAGTCGACGCAGTTCAATGTACCATCTTTTGGCGGTTCCAGTTTTGGGCATTTCTGCGCTAAAAACAGTTTGAGAATTGATTATTAACGTAGCGGGAATTCTGCGGAGGTAAAACCCAAGTAAAAACTTCCGAGAAAAATAAAGGATAGAACACTCTGGTACTTCGTAAAAATGATGATATTTTAAATTCACTTTCTTCTACGTTTCTGAAAAAAATGTTTTGTAGATTTACAATCTGTTTTCGACAATTTCATGAAGTTTTAGAGAGTAATACCGTTGTATGCTTTATTTTTGCTTACCTTTGCATATTATTCCAGTATAACTCCACATACCATCACTTTGGCAAACTTGCCTACTCTCCCCTATTAAATCATAGCCTACTTCGCATCGGATTTCGCAAATACTGTTGACTTTGTTTGAACAGTTGCTACTATCTACCAAATAGCTGTTTTGTGGCATTTCAAAATCTGGACAAATTATCTCTGTAAAAAATGAAATTTCTACTCAAAATTAAATGATAATACAAATTATGCGCAGTGTACCTTCACAACCTCCTTCTTTGGACAGATATCCTGGTTTACATTTACAGTCATCAGCACTAAATGCTGGGTAGCTTGTCATGTGGTTAGGATCTGGGCATGGTAAACATTCATTCGGCACTTCGGAATAAGTTCCTGACTCACATGCTTAAATTAAAGAATACATACGTACAATGAACATTACAATCTATGCAGGATAATTCAATAGAACCCAATTTTTCTAGTGCAAAAAGTACATCCGAAGATAACAAAACAGTCCTTATAGAGATATGTTCCATTACCAGGCTACAGGGTGTTGTAAATTTCTACGCTACCGATGAGACTGAATAAGGACAAAACATGCACATTGTTCAAATAATGTTATGATGAATTAGGATTACTTTCTCAATACACAACATAAAATTATATCAAACTTCACCAACTTCGGCGTATTTTCAGAGTAGAACCAGTTGAGGTTTTTTTATACCGTTTTATCTGAAATATTCATGTAAGATTGAATGCCGTATTTAAAAAAGTAGTAGCTGTTTAAAAAAAACCAGTGTAATAACTTTTTTTTTTCTTATGAAGAGGCAACAATTTCCCAATTTTCGCGCTACTGGTATAGACTGAGTCACAAAATTTATTGTATTGAATATATCTTGATCTATTCCTAAGATACAGTCTATTCCGCCTTTACCAGAGGCCCCCAAATAGAACGAAATTAAACAAAAAAATCTCTGCTCCTCAATTTTCCCCAATGGTAAAATAAGGCGCTTGATATTGTTGTGGCTTTGGTGCGCTTCAGCCGCAGACCCCGAGCTTCGTGTTTGCTGAGGGGCACATAACTAGTTTAAAACCGCCCTGGATATAATTCTTTTCCGATTTCGAAATTATAATTTCAACATCCTGTATCTCGGTAACTGAACCTTTCGAGTATTTTTTTGATCTGCCATTGCCACGATTTTCCTATCTTATATATATATATATATACTAAGTGACTTATAAATCCGAACACCCAGTTTAAATGGTTTTATTTTATTTCAAGCAACCACCAACTCCTCTCGAAGTGCTTCTAGAGTCTGAGGAGGACGTTGCAAATTGAGCAATCTCCTACCCATCATATCCCACACGTGCTCAATTGGGGATAAGTCGGGAGATCTTGGTGGCCATGGTAACAATGTGACATCATTATGTTGAAAGAAGTCTATTGTGACTCTTGCAACATGTGGTCGGGCATTATCTTGTTGGAAAGTTGGATCTGCCAGGGTGTCAAGATAGGGTAAAAGATGGGGTTCTAGAACTTCGTGGATATAACGCTGTGCGTTTATGTTACCTCTGATGAAGATTAAAGGTGACATGGAACCATAAGCTATAGCACCCCAAACCATAACTCCAACAGTGTGATGAACATGTCTTTAAACAAAAAACTGTGGATTCCTCCTTTCACCACGTCGCCTTCTAACCCTGGCACGACCATCGTGCATGCCTAAACAAAATCGAGACCCATCACTAAAGACAATACTGTTCCATTCCTGATCCCAGAGTGACCGTTGTCTGCACCACTCAAGGCGATTACGTCGGTGTTCTCGAGTTAAAGGGAGGACCCAGTGTGGCTAGTATGAAAACAAGCCAAAACTTCTCATTCGTCGGTAAACACGTCGCATGCCAATAGGTCTTCCGTGTTCTGCAAACCATTCATTTGCAATGGACCTGGTAGTGGAGAAACGGTCCCTTAAGGCCAATAATCTTAGGCGGCGATCTTCACGGTCTGTTGTTCTACGGCGGCGTCCAGTGCCCCTTGCTCTTTGCGTACGGCCTTCTCGAAGCCATGCCTGACAACACCTAACCACAGTGTCTACACTTCTTTGCACTCTAACTGCAATTGCCCGAAAAGAAAGTCCAGCTTCCCGAAGTCCCACTATACGGCCCCTATCAAACTAACTAAGTTGACGTAATCGTACAGATCTCCGTACTCTAGGCATCGTAACCGATCGTAAAGGATGTCAAGAACCAAAATCCGCCAACGTTGATTCTTTACTGCGGCTGAAATATTCATTTTTAGAGCGTTAGTGAATTAAAAAAAAACAGTATAAAAACCGGAATGTCCAACTGATAAGGCTGAAAATTTTTTCACTTGTTATTTACAGTAAGATAAATACATTCACCAACTTTTATTAAAATAAAACCATTTAAACTGGGTGTTCGGATTTATATGTCACTTAGTATATATTATTCCCTGTATTTTATGCAGGTAGGGTAATTTTAAAAATATTCTGCCCAACATCGCAATAACGTTTAATTTCAAATTTAACTCTGCACCTGCATTTAGAAATAATGTCCTATAAAAATTGTGTTAAAAACATCTATACAGGGTGTTTCTTAATGATATGCGAATATTTGAGGGTGTGAATCTACATGAAAAATTGTTGTTGTTAGTTTGCTTTATAAACTATGGTCCAAAAATGTTTCCTTACAAAAACTCGGGGTGTTGAAGTTTTAGGAAAAAAATAGAAATTAATTAATATTTTCAGAACCGCTTCAGATATTTAATCACTGATATTTAGTTGGTAGTGAAAGTTAATAAAGTCGCATATTTTTCAATGCAAAATAACTTTTAGCTTTAGCAGTGGCGTGCGTACGGATATTGACGTCGATATTTTGTAAGAAAAAAAATTGTTCGCCAATGGTTTTTTGCCAAATAAAAATTATTTTTGAATTTCCAGTTCAATTTAAATTAAATTATCTCTCTTAAATTGTTTTCCTTCGATGCGCCATGTTTGAGCAAAATAATAAAATCCGTTCTATTGACCGAGAAAATTAATGTAATAGTTGAAGAATGCAATTTAGCAATAAATATCTAGTTGCTCTGGAATATGTCACTGGCTTTTGACATCTGACAAGTCTCTGTTATTCAAATCTGTTCGCTGTGACATCTTTTTCATTATTTAGTTTTTACAATCTTGTTAATAAGGGTGAATTATTCAAATGCAGAAATGGCGGCAATGCATTACGTATATGGCCTTGCCGTCGGTAATGGTGAGCAAGCCAGACGGATTTATCAAAAGATATATCCCGATCGTGCTTTGCCAGATAGTCGAACCTTTTCTAATATTCATCATCGTCTTGTTGAAACTAGTTCTGTCCGAAAAGGAACATTTGAAGGTAGACCTCTAAATGTGAGAACACCTGAAGTTGAGGAAGCAGTGCTGCACGAAGTCGAAGAACATCCTGAAGCGAGTACGAGGAAGATCGCTAGACACTTAAATATTTGCCATCAAATTGTTTAGAGAATTTTATTGGATTTTTTGTTATATCCTTACCATATATTACACAAAATCTGCAATTTGAATCAATGATTCTGTTCACGGACGAAACTAATTTTTCTCGAAATGCCATTCAGAATTTCCTCAATAATCATTTGTGGGCAGAAGAAAATCCCTATGCCGTAACCGAAATCCATTTCCAATACCAATTTTCGGTTAACGTATGGGCAGGAATTATTGGCAACCACTTTATTGGAACATTATTCTTGCCAGGACGACTTGACGGACCGACTTACCTCAATTTTCTTCAACAACAGTTGCCTTTGCTGCTTGATGATGTTCCGTTAGTGATAAGAAACAATATGTGGTACATGCATGATGGTGCACCAGCGCATTTCAGTGTAGAGGTTCGTAATTATTTACAAAATGTTTATCCAAATCGTTGGATTGGCCGCGGTGGGCCTCAAGAATGGCCACCAAGGTCCCCAGACCTCAACAGTTTAGAATTCTTTTTGTGGGGCCATCTTAAGACACTAGTGTAAACAAGTCCCATAAGCACTGTAGAGGAATTAACAGAAAGAATAGTTGCAGCTTGTAATAGAATAAAAAACACTCTAGGGATAATTCAACGAGTGCGCAATTCCATGAGAAGGAGGGCGGAAGCATGCATACTGAGTGACGGGGGCCATTTTCAACAATTTTTGTAATCATTTCGTTGGTTTTAATCTTATATTTATGTTGTCAGTTGTTATTGTTCATTACCCCTAATGTGTTTAATTTTTCAAATTAAATTAATAATAATTTTGCAAATTAGGCAATAGAACGATTTTTATTTTTTTACTCAAAAATCGCGTATCAAAGGAAAAAAATTCAAGAGAGATCATTTGTTTTAATTTAAGCGGAAAATTCAAAAGTAATTTTTATTTGGCAAAAAACTGTCGGCGTACCATTTTTTTCTTAAAAAATATCGAAGTCAATACCCGTACGCAGGCCAATGTTAAAGCTAAACATTATTTTTGCATTGAAAAATATGCAGCTTTATTAACTTTCACTACGTACTAAATAGCAATGAAATATCTGAAGCGGTTCTGAAAATATTAATTAATTTCCATTTTTTTCCTAAAACTTCAACACCCCGAGTTTTTGTAACGAAACATTTTTGGACCATAGTTTACAAAGCAAACTAACATCAATTTTTCATGTAGATTCACACCATTAAATATTCGCATATCATTAAAGAACACCCTGTATTAATTTTATGAGTGAACTTACGAAAACACGAGTTCCTCAATCCAGAACCATAAAATCCTTGTTGGCATAAGCACGTATAATGTCCAGTAGATGTTCCGCAAGTACAGATTGCGTTTATATCACAGCAGTGCCCAGTCTTACATAAATAATCACAGAGTTTATAGTTACCGGTTGGTATATAGACACCGCTTGTTAGATCTATGAAAATAAGAAGCATTGAAACTTGTAAAGCAAATCATATAGATTGGGTATCAATACCTCCTCTATCATCAATATATCAATATCAAAATTCCTGACGATTTCTGGACTAAAATTCCTATGAAGAAACAACCTTACACGTGAACTACATAGTAGGAGAGTCGATGACGGTTGACCGTTTAGGGTTCCCAGAGGCACAAGGGGTGTGTTAATATGAACCCCCCGGAAAGATGGCCACGTCGCTCATATACTAAGTGACATATAAATCCGAACACCCAGTTTAAATGGTTTTATTTTAATAAAAGTTGGTGAATGTATTTATCTTACTGTAAATAACAAGTGAAAAAATTTTTAGCCTTATCAGTTGGACATTCCGGTTTTTATACTGCTTTTTTTTTAATTCACTAACGCTCTAAAAATGAATATTTCAGCCCCAGTAAAGAATCAACGTTGGCGGATTTTGGTTCTTGACATCCTTTACGATCGGTTACGATGCCTAGAGTACGGAGACCTGTACGATTTCGTCAACTTAGTGAGTTTGATAGGGGCCGTATAGTGGGACTTCGGGAAGCTGGACTTTCTTTTCGGGCAATTGCAGTTAGAGTGCAAAGAAGTGTAGACACTGTGGTTAGGTGTTGTCAGGCATGGCTTCGAGAAGGCCGTACGCAAAGAGCAAGGGGCACTGGACGCCGCCGTAGAACAACAGACCCTGTAGATCGCCGCCTAAGATTATTGGCCTTAAGGGACCGTTTCTCCACTACCAGGTCCATTGCAAATGAATGGTTTGCAGAACACGGAAGACCTATTGGCATGCGAAGTGTTTACCGACGAATGAGAAGTTTTGGCTTGTTTTCATACCGGCCACACTGGGTCCTCCCTTTAACTCGAGAACACCGACGTAATCGCCTTGAGTGGTGCAGACAACGGTCACTCTGGGATCAGGAATGGAACAGTATTGTCTTTAGTGATGAGTCTCGATTTTGTTTAGGCATGCACGATGGTCGTGCCAGGGTTAGAAGGCGACGTGGTGAAAGGAGGAATCCACAGTTTTTTGTTGAAAGACATGTTCATCACACTGTTGGAGTTATGGTTTGGAGTGCTATAGCTTATGATTCCAGGTCACCTTTAATCTTCATCAGAGGTAACATGAACGCGCAGCGTTATATCCACGAAGTTCTAGAACCCCTTCTTTTACCCTATCTTGACACCCTGGCAGATCCAACTTTCCAACAAGATAATGCCCGACCACATGTTGCAAGAGTCACAATAGACTTCTTTCAACATAATGATGTCACATTGTTACCATGGCCACCAAGATCTCCCGACTTATCCCCAATTGAGCACGTGTGGGATATGATGGGTAGGAGATTGCTCAATTTGCAACGTCCTCCTCAGACTCTAGAAGCACTTCGAGAGGAGTTGGTGGTTGCCTGGAATGAGATACCACAGGAGGACATTGACCACCTGATCAGAAGCATGCCTAGGCGCGTTGGAGAATGCGTAGCACATCAGGGTGCATCTACACATTATTAAAGGTCAAAGGGCTTTAAAGCTGTGCAATCATTTTGAAATTTTTATCATTTACTTATTATGCTTCATTAAGTACTTATACAAAATTTTATTAAAATAAAACCATTTAAACTGGGTGTTCGGCTTTATATGTCACTTAGTATAGTTTAGAAGAATTTTTTTTGGGGGAGGGGAAGATAAAAACATATCTGGGCATGCTCGGAAGGCTGACATCCCCTCCCCGTTTCATGTTGCTGACCGCGTTTCAATTCGCATCCGTGAGGACAATCGTATCCACATGTTATAAGGTTAAAAACAAAAATAAAAGAACCAATTTTTTATTATTATTATTAAATTGTCAGTAATCCACTAAGGGAAAAATATTTGAAAATTAAAATTTACTACTAAACTTGGACTACTAAATATAAGCTTTTACACATTTTTGTGGTAAAAAAGCTCATTACGTGTTAAAAAATGATATACAGATAATTACTATTTCTCCCAAAAACGTGAAAAGCTCGACCATTCCCCCTAATGCATGCTTTTAACAGAAGAGGGGCTGAACCATCTTTCCGGGAGGTTTTATTGATCCACATGTTGACCTCTGGGAACCACAAATTACCAACCGTTATCTTTCACTGAGGACCGTGCCTCCAGTATATCTGGCATTGGAAAACTTTTATGTCACCGGCTCTTTAACTAACTAAAGTTGCCCATTTAAGTTTACAAATAAAGCTTTATAACTGCGCTATACTGTTTGTATTCTTTACCTGCGTGCAAAGCTTTCCTAGCCAGGCTTTCGAAATCCGAGAAACTATCCAATAGATAACTGTGAAATTGTCCAGGTGGTGAAGATATTTCAAATAATTCTTTATAATTTCCATTTTGGATGCCAATGGTGAAAATGGTTATATTTTGTATCTTCAGTTCTTTGGCTAGTGGTGTGGGGTCACCTCCATTCGAGTATCCATCAGTTATTAAAAATAATATTTTCTGAGAGTCAGATCTTGTCGATGAAACGAATACGTCCTGCATAACGTGATGTAAGTTTAGATAAAACGGAGAATTCGTAAGTCGATAGCTACCAAAAAGTTTGGCAACTTATATAGAGCTGTTTTTTGTTGCGCCAGGGACTTTGAACTTTTCTTGATGCCCCGTATTTGTAATAATAAAAAAATATTGTGTGATGTTTGCTTGTGTGTAAGATAAACGTACCTTAGCTACTTCAAATGCACCTAGTGTAAACGTTTGTCCTCCTTTGTAGCTTACTTTTTTGAGGTCTTGATTCAGTAGCTTACATTTGTTATTATCTTCTGTGGTTGTGCTGATTCCGTCAATATTTTTAATCTGAAAAGGTATCAGTAATCCATATCACTTCAACTGGATACTCAAAAAAGAGCGATACAAGATCATCGCTATTCAAAACTTACTTTTTATGCAATAAGATTGTTATATAAACAATAAAGTGAATTTCATCATCATAATCACATGTCGCTTCGATTTTTTCTGCTGATTTTCATACTTACTATACATGATTAGAATTAGAATTGTACTGCACAAATTACGAAACTATAACTTCAGATTATTACCTTCGAATGTACGAGGAAAGTTAAATAAAATCCTGTTGTTCTAAACAAAATAGAGAAAGATGAAGGTAATTCCTTTACGGATTCAAAGAACCTTAATAATACAAATTAAATCTAGAAATGTGACCGTAAGTACAAAACATGTTCGATCGTCACAATCTACTTTTAAATTAAAGAAATTGAACCATAAGATACCACAACATTTTTTGAAATGTTATCACAGTGAGAAATTAATTATTGAAATATCTAACACTTACCACATTATTGGGAGAACTGAACGAAACAACTGCTATTCTTGTATGATTTGCATCAACCGTAACATCGCTGAGAACCTTTTTCACAAACTTCAACTCACTTTGAAAGTTACTCTCACCTACACTAGAGGAAGCATCGATGAGAAACACTATATCCAACTTCAGAGAAGATGTCTTCACTAGTCCGAAGTTCTTCTTGAACACCTCACCAAGCACATCAATTTTTCGGTCATCGTCCGGAGTTTCTTTGAACTCCTGTATTTTTCGTACTCCATGATTCAGGTACACCTCGTAATCTTCCACATCTTCAGTTTGGATTATTTCAGAAAAACAAAATTCTATCATAAATATGGCTGTCAGTAGTTTTCTCAACATCTCTGTTTATCAAGGAGGCAGTGCAATGTGAGATGCATTTGGCGTGGCACATGTTACACATATGTCGGTGCATTGAGCAGTATCAAAGAGTTTTTTTATTGGCGAGGGTCGACGAATTTGCTGGGAATCTCTCATATCTAGAGACTTGTTTGATCTAATATAGCGCAGGACATGTGGGTTCAACACAATAGGAAAATATTACCTATTTACGTTATATTTACGTCGCACCACAACTTACACAGCTGCTCGACCCACAGTTGTTGTTCTCATATTGGCTTAATGTTACGTTCGTAGCAAACTGCCCAATAGAAGTGCAAGAATTTGGAGATCAGGAGCCTGTACACAAATATTGTATATCGTATGTTAACAAATTCAAATCTACAGGGTTTGTCCGGAAAGTAATAGGACTCATTTTCTTCCGCCATGACTGTACTTCGGAGCGTGCGCACACCGACTGGATTCGGTAGAGGGCGTTCCTATCTAACGAATGAGCGGCTGGTCAGTTGTCTCCGAGCACTTGGAGAGTCAGGACAGTCATTTTCGCGCGACGTGTTTCTGTGAGTGGTGCAAGCCGAAAATGCAGCGTTCGTTAGAGCAGAGGTACGCGATTAAATTCTGTGTGAAACTCGGTAAATCTGCGACAGAGACGTTTGATATGATCAAGCAGGCTTACCCAGGTGTTACTTTAGCAAGAAGCGGTGTGTTTCGGTGGCACCATGCCTTTTTGGAGGGCCGGAAAGAGGTCGCTGATGAAGACCGTGCTGGAAGACCTTTGACTTCGACAAACACCGATAATGTGACTCGTGTGCGCAAAGTTTTGAACTCAGACCGTCAACTAAGTATTCGTTTAATTGCCCAGATGTTAAATTCACCAAAATCTGTGGTTCATGACATTGTGATACAGCATTTGAACATGCGCAAGGTGTGCGCGAAGATGGTCCCAAAAGTGCTCACTGACGACCAGAAATTGCGGCGAGTGGAAGTGTGCCAAGAAAATTTGAATATGTGTGAAAGTGACCCCCAATGTTTGAATAACGTAATCACAGGTGACGAGACGTGGATCTTTGAGTATGATCCCGAGACAAAGAGGCAATCTTCCGAGTGGCACACGACGGCATCTCCTCGCCCAAAAAAGGGAAGAATGAGCAAATCCAATGTGAAAACGATTCATTGTCTTTTTTGACATCAAAGGCATCGTCCTCCATGAATTTGTTCCTCCTGGACAAACCGTCAACGCCAAGTTTTACGTGGAAGTGCTCAGGAAACTCAAACGAAGGGTCAGTCGGGTCCGACAAGACATCACGGCCGAGTAGTTGCACCCCGACAACGCCCAGGCTCACACCGCCTTTCTTGTGAACAGCTACCTGAACATGGCCGACATCCCAACCCTTCCGCAGCCGCCCTACAGCCCAGATGTGACCCACCGGACTTTTTTTTGTTTCCTCGCCTGAAAAGGCCGATGAAAGGCAAACATTTTGATACGACAGAGGCGATCCAAGCAGCATGCACTGAGGCTCTCAAGGCTATTCCGGAGAATGCCTTCCATGACGCCTTCAATGTTTGGAAATCGCGCTGGCAGAGCTGCATCGTCGCAGTAGGAGCCTATTTTGAAAGTTTTTAAAGAATTGTAACGATTGGCTCAATAAATTTTTTTAAATCGTCTCAGTCCTATTACTTTCCGGACAAAGCCTGTATAGGCCATAACCGCGATGACCATTTACCATTGCGAGAGAGAAAATACGTATGTAGAGCGAAAGCGCGGATGAAGTGATCATAGACTCTCTGTCCTTGGTATCGGGCACGCTTTACTGCCGCTCTCGCTCTAACATACGTAACCATGACCTACCTCTCTGTAATTGCCAGGCATCGTGGTGATTATACTTATATTGCGCACTCTTTCTCACATACGTGTTATACGCCTCTATCGTACATATTGAAACCGGTCGGCCTCAATGGTAAATGACCAGCACGGTATATACAACTTTGGGCCATCGAAAAAGGTTACCTTCTTCTTCTTCTGGTGTCCTCGACGGATATTTTCCCATTACTTTATTGACTGGTGAACTAACCAATTTTACTGAAGTGAGATCTGTCAATGGCATTGGAGTGGATTTTTAAGCCACGGGGCCAAAAAGGTTATAAGAACGTCTAAATATTGGCCAGTTCTTCTTTGGTACATTTTTAACGATCAAAGTATTAAACCTCCAAAATCAATCTTCCTAAATGACAAATTGGTCAAGGCTTTCGCGGCCAGTTGATAAACTGCTGTCTTGATTCGGGTCTAAATGCCGTCGTCGGTTGGAATTTCTTCCTAACGTTTCGCTAGCACGAGTGGCAAGCTTCTTCAGAGGTCCTTCCGTTTCGGATGCTGGATGTAGACTGACCATTTATCTTGCGCAGGTTGTATTTATATGCCGGAGGGTAGGGGACGTGGCTTGTTCCGCTTCGGTTGACTTTGGGATGTCGATAGGCACTGCTCGGGCGTTTCTGAGGATCGGGTGCCAGATCGGGTTGGGTCTGAGGGTCTCTTCCTTCCTGTTGAAGTTATCTGGATGTTTGTGAATCTCGATAGCTTCCCCGACCAGTCTATTGTGATAGCCGTTGACTGATGACAGCAACCTGCAGTTGCCAAAGTGTATCCTATAGTCCCCATTGCTTAGTGCATGTTCAGCTACTACTTCTCAGTTTGTCCTAGCCGGCAATTTGCTTTGGGCTCCTTGAATCTATGCGGTAGACTCCTGCAGCTGAGAGTGGGTCCTTCTTGTCCTTTGCTGATGTGATCGTTTGTTGAATTTTCTTCGTAGGCTTGAAGATTGTTTTAATGTCATGTCTCTTCAGGACTCTGCCAATCCTGTGCGTGACTCTTGACACAAATGGAAGATTCGCTTGAGAGGTGGTGGGACGCTGTTCGGAAGCTGGGTCACACAGTGTACAGGAAACCAACGCACACAGACAGATACCTGCACGCTTTGTCCAATCATCACCCAAGTCAGAAGTATGGAGTCAGGACAGAACGAGCTCGAAAGATTTGCGAACCGGAGAACCTCCAGACAGAACCTGAAAACTGCGTTCGAAGCAAATGGCTACAGCAAGAGGGACATCGAAAGATCAATGGGCTCTAGATCAGCCAGGCCACGTGAAACCGAACAGCGTCCCACCTTCTCTCAAGCGTATCTTCAATTTGTGCCAAGAGTCACGGACCGGATTAGCAGTGTCCTGAAGAGACATGACATTAAAACAATCTTCAAGCCTACGAAGAAGATCCAAGAAACCATCAGATTGGCAAAAGACAAAAAGGACCCACTCTCAGCTGCAGGAGTCTACCGCATACCGTGTTCATGCGGCAAAGTATACATTGGAACCACTAAAAGATCAATGGGAACGAGACTCAAGGAGTACAAAGAAAATTGCCGGCTAGGACAAGCTGAGAAGTCTGCGGTAGCTGAACATGCACTAAGCAATGGGGACCACAGGATACACTTTGGGAGCTGCGGGTTGCTGTCATCAGTCAACGGCTATCACAATAGACTGGTCAGGGAAGCTATCGAGATACACAAACATCCAGATAACTGCAACAGGAAGGAAGAGACCCTCAGACTCAACCCGATCTGGCACCCGTTCCTCAGAAACGCCCGAGCAGTGCCGATCGACATCCCGAAGTCAACCGAAGCGGAACAAGCCACGTCCCCTACCCTCCGGTATAAATACAACCTGCGCAAGAGAAATCGTCAGTCTACATATAGCATCGGAAATGGAAGCACATCTGAAGAAGCTTGCCACTCGTGCTAGCGAAACGTTAGGAAGAAATTGCAACCGACGACGGCCTTTAGACCCGAATCAAGACAGCACTTCCTAAATGGATACAATTTTCATATGATGATGTATTTCTACAAAGGTAACTGCGTTTTGTGTCCAGCAATATATACCCAGACACTATTACCAGAGATTGGTCATACCCGGTGTTGATAAAACAAGTGCACTTATCCTTCTTTGCTCATCCCCTTCCTTTTTACTGACCTTTATATACTCTTTAGTTATTTTGTTTGCTTTGATCGGTTTCTGGGCAACCATACCGATAGTATAACAGACTGTCTTCCTTTCTATTCCCTCTAATTCTTTCGTGTACTTTATTCGGTTTCTGGGAGACCATGCTGGCTGAATAAGATACTGACTGAGCAAATGTGACGTAAAAGGCATTGGGATCAAACGCGAACGAGCGGAGCTTCGTGTTCTGACACAACAGTAGTAACAATTGATTAGATTTTTGATGGACCATTGTTTGTTCAGAGTACATCTACTGTAATTTTGAATGAATGTCTCAAACTTCCTATGCAAAAAGTGTGGGGATACAAAAGAAACGGCAATGTTGTAATGGACATGTTTGCTTTCCGTCTCTGCAGACAGTGCTGTTTAGTGTTCATTTGCAATTCATGGGTGCAGTAGAGATCTCTCAGTACAGATGAACGTGAAGCAAACAAGTAGGGTCTTTTGAAAAACTCAAAGTACTGTGCAAAAGTAGGTGAGAAATCTGACGATCTCCAACTATCAATGCTTTACCAAGCTAATCGTCATTCTACTACCATACAATGAAGATGACAGAAGACCCCTACACCTCTGACTCGTTACTGCTTGACGTTCTTGGCTGTGCACAGATAAACCTATAACGCACCGATGAGCTGCTAATAAGTACAAAATAGCGCTGTCTGTGGTTGGTCATGGTTGCAGAGACGGAAAGCAGACACGTCCGTTTTAACCGTGACTATGCATAGAAAACCATTGTTAGTCTGATCTGTAAATACTTAGTATTCCCACTGCTAAACGAGTTGACCGTTATTGTGGTCCGCCATCTATCTGTGCATTGCTCAGAATAGGGCCAGAGGCGTAGGAGTCTTCGGTCATCTTCATCGCGTGAGATCAGGATGAAGATCATCTCGGCAAACTATTGGAGATTCTTTCTTACACCGAAGCAGCCCCGCAGGCAGAAGCCTAACTGCCAGGGCACCGCGGTTGCTAAGTAGATCCCAAAGAACATCTGGGAAAAGCTTCCTCTTCAAGACTGTTCCACAATCCCGACACTCTAGCAACGGAGCGGTCTTATCGGCCACTTCTGGATGTACGAAGTTCGACACGGTTAGAAAGCGGAGGTCAGGCGGGTCTGTCCGGCAGGCACATCGCGTGGCGGCATCATGGAAGAGGGCTCTGAGGAGAAAAGCCCATTGGTGTAGCGGTAGAAGAGAGCTAGACAATGTATGTTGTTATTGGTATTCCAACCTTATGTGAAAGCAAGACCACCGAAGACTTGGTAATTAAAGGACAAGGAGACATAGTCCAGTACTCTAAAGGATTCCAAAACTCACTAGAATCTAGTAAAAGAGAATGATAACCTCTAGTATCTAAAAAATGCCATTCGACACCATTCGCTCTAAATTTTGAAAAGTAAAATTTTGTAGAACTTGTTTTAACGCAGACTGGACTAAAAATGTAAAACCAAGCAGTCAGCAAACAAGTGAGCAGCTTTGTTTATTTTCGGTACTTGTGATCTGAATTCGGTCGCTGTGATGTTACTTAAAAAAATGACCTTCCTTGAAATCTGCCTAATCGTTAGATTGCCGCAACAAATCAAAACAAAGCTTCGCCTTTCCAGATAACAATTATATAGTAGTACCGGGGTCAGTCGTCGTACGACCTTTCAGGGCTGTATTCAATTATTCATGACTTATTTATAGAATATTACTAACATTAGGGATCGACCCATTCCGATAAGTATGTCGACAATGTCGGCCTAATTTGACGATATACGAATCAGGTGACATGACTGCTCATATTCGATGTAGGCCGACCGATACAAATGAAAAAATTAATAACAGTCAGGATTATTAAATTGAAGAAAGCGGTTATATATTCTCAAGAATTGTATGTTTTCTGTATTTACTTCATATGCCACTAGAGAGGAATGATCACGATGAATTTCCAAAATAAGATATTATGTTTTTTTGATATTTTATTACATAATTCATCACCAAAAAATACTCATTCCTGACCATCTGTCTTGTCTGCCTGTCCGCTAATCCTTGACTCGCCTATATCTTGGAAAGTGCCGCTCGGATATGGATGAATTGTTGACACAAGGCGACTACTGTGCCAAGGACCAAGGAGCTTTGTAGTTTTTGAGAATAGGTCTTGTGTAACTTTGTTATTTGATGTGACAGAGGCTCCTGATCATTTTCAGAAAAATGTTGTACGGGTTGAATGGTTGGGGTTGTTAGTATAATTTTACTTCCGGTAATACTACACTCCATTAGACATATTTCACACATCAAATAAATCAATAAAACGTTTTTAGAAAAATTCGGTGTCTTTCGTCTATCTCCGGAAATACTCAGAAATGCGAAATGTGCCATTTTCTTAGTTACCTAAATGCGCAACTTTACATCCATTAAACCAACTTCATATCTCTCACTGTTTCCGAGCTCTCACTGGGTAGAGTCGAATTTGAAACACCCGGTATATCATTTAAGGAGTTACATAGTCGTGTAGGTGGCCAAGGTAAGGGCCAACGTGTTTTCATCCGACTTCCCTGTACAGTTAAACATGAATGGCTCGTATGCCGATAGCATCCATATATTGGACTTTGAAATATCGGTGTCGGCTTTATCGGTATAAGGAAAAATTCTGTAGCGGTCGATGTTTCATAAATATAAAATTTATTGGCTAGAATCGTGTCACTGAAAATACATCTCATTTTATATGGGCACTGATTAACCCATTTATGCCTAATGTACTATGAATAGTACAGCCTAAACTTGTTTGTTCCTGTAGATATCTGTACGATTTGGTTAAATTGAATAGCTCGCGGCGACAGTTTGCGGGTGGATCTCGTACAGTACGGAGTAATTTTGCGTATTGTGCAATATTTTGTATGTGAAATCAGTTTTTGTATATTGGAAAATAGCAGATGAATGAATATGGCGTGCGCTTTGCAAAGTAAGTAGGATTTTTATGACATAAAATAAAAAAAAAACTAGTTTATTTTTATGAAAATATTATTTCCTTAGTTGCGGCTTCTAGATTTTATGATTTTATGATGTGTTTCATTTATGCTTTGTTTGTGAGGTTATGATGAAGTTAGGTGTACTATATTTAGTACATCAGGAAAAAGGGGTCTACGAATACGTTCATAGTCAAAACAAAAATAAAATGGTTTTAGGTTAATTATTTTTGAATAAGTAATTAT